AAGTGAGCTGATGCAAGTTTGTAACATGGCCGAAAAAAAAAATTTGAAAAGTGAATTGGAATCCAATTTTGTTTTGGATTACTGACATCTTGAATTCCCCTCAAGCAGTAATGTCATACTATATCTAAGGTATAGAACAACAAGCAAACTTAAGTAAAAAAGAATTTTTAAAATCTTATAAAACATGATTTAATAGCGGTGTGGGTCGGTGTGGTTTGGAGAAAAATAGAAACCGGCGGATTGATAAAAGTGTCATTAGAATTTGTCATTTTTTTTTCCAAAAATCGGCGGTTCGATTGGCAAATAATAATAAATTTGCCTTGGCAGTGCGGCTCGGGGTGGTTTCAGTGGTTTTGGCGGTATTACGCATACCCTAATCGGGAGTTGAGGTGGGAAAAGAAAAAATAATAATTCGGGAAATGATATGATTATGATTTGATTTTTATGTTTTACCTATTTTATTTGGGTAAAAAAATAAGATAGAAGGAAAAGAAGTATTTTATTTTATTTAAAACAATATTTTATATTAATAAGTTATTTTTAATTTTTTTATTATAAAATAATTTTTTGTATTTTAAAAAAAATTCATTAAACTCATTTTTTACTACTACATTTTTATTGGGAAAACACAATTTTGGTGGGAGTTCTTTTCTCATCATTTCTAATGTATTTAGCCATCCAAATGAGGTGAAAAGTTCCTTAGGGTTGGTTTGCATAGACTATATAATTTCATCTTTTTATCTTTTTTTCATCACATCACCTCTCTACTTTTTGCACATCTTTTCGTAAAAAAATAAAAAATACACTTTTTTAAGACACCCCAAACCAACCCTTATTCACCGTATCTGTGTTTTTTTTTTTTTTTTTTCTTACCAAACTTCTCTGCTCAAACGGAGTGTTAGGGCGTTTTGAGCTTTTTGGCTCACTCAATAATTGAGATCGAAATCACAACTCAAACTCAAGTTAAAAATTTAAAATAGTTTTCAACTCATTCTCGATACAATGAAGAAAACTCACTACGAATTAAACTCGCTACTAATTGTTAGCTCATGTCCAATGTCCAATACAGTGAGATTGAGTAAGAAAACTAAGTTTAGTGGTATAAGATTAAACATGTAAGTAAATTATGTTTGTTGTTTATGTGTAATTTGAAGACTATATGAAATAATTGAAATTAAATTTTATGAATTAAATAAAATTCTTCAATATATAAAATATAATGAAATTTTCAACTATAATCCTATGGAATTGAACTGTGAAACCCAACCATTTACGAGATTGCTAATACTTTTGGAGGGATTCATCTTAGTCCCATGATATTATTCCAAAACAATGTATGATTGGTAGTTTATCCTACTACCTTCATACTAAACAAAACAGTGACTACCAGTTCAGCATTTGATTCAAGAAATTTGTGTTTGGCTCAAGTAAATCCAATTATATAAATGAGTTTGATTTTGAATTTAAAATTAAAATAAATAAACTTAAAATAATATGTATATTAAAGAAAAAAATATGAAAAAAAAAAATCATATTATTAATAAATTTTCACACCGCCACATCCCTACCAAAATTTTGATGTCAAATTCACCAAACTCCCTCCTCAAATCCAACATCTAAGCACAACATACAAAATCAGATTTGGTCATATCAAGAAAAGCTTCATGAACAAAAAGCACTTCAAAATTCGTACTCCCACAAAATTGCTATATACAAACAACACAAAAATGTTTCTTCCAAAAAAAAAAAAAACCAGGACTCTCAATTATGGGGCACAGGGTACAAAAATGTGGCAATAATTTCACTAATTCGAGACTTAATAGATGTGAAAATCAATAAGGTTCAACATCACCTTCACTATTTGCTGAACTTGAAGGCCTTCGAAACGAAAATTTAATTACTCAACCTTGGGGCCTTTAGAAAATAAATACTCCTCACAAACCCTTTCCCGACCTTGCCAACAGTTTTTAGTACACATCAGGCAGATCATGATCATCCTCACCCACTTCTCCTCGTCCCCGTTTCTGCAAAAAAGCAAACAGATAAAGGGGTTAGGTAGTTCTAAGCTGCTGAACATCATCCTCATTTCATGCATGAAAATAAGCAAACATCTTAATGTACCTTTGATGATCCCAATCTCTCCCATGTTAAGCGATAGCATCACCTCCAAGTGAATCATACACATTTTGAACATGGCCGGGAACTCTCTCTGCAGACACAACAGGAGAAATTTAGCTCCTCTCTAACGATCAGCATACGAGGGATGTCTACAATTAGTGTGTTTGTTTTCTTGGAATGAGTTGAAATGGAATGGAATGGTGTCATTCCTAATCTCCTTGCGGAATTACCATTTCTTTACAGTAAGAATGATAATTCCAATTGCAACACATTTTCATTATTTTATTGATGAACCAAACGTAAGAATGAACATTATGAATGATCATCCATTCCACTTCATCCAATAAACCAAACATTACCTAAATGCTATGTTACATGGACTCGGGTATGGGTGTCGGGTGCGGGTATGTATTTAGAGGTCGAAAATCATAAATTTAAGAGTATGCGGATTCGGCAAAAAAATGTCATATTTTTATATTTTTAATCTAGTATAGTGGAGATAAAATGGTATTTATATGTACCTTACAGTGTCAAAATAACATTTATAACAATTATACAACAATATGTATATATAATAAATAGTGTTATATACAATTATACAAGAAATATCCGTTGAAAAGTATCCTACTCATATCCCATACCCTTGTCTGAGTGTCGGTTGTCCGACACAAGTATTTGTTTATTTTGAAGAGTCCATGTAACATAGCCTAAATGTAAAAGCATTTGAGTAATACTTGCCTCCAATCTCCAACAAAGCATCTCAGTGGATCAAAGTTCACCATCAGCTTTGTTTTGTTCCTCTAAGCTCCCTTTCATGTCTCTAGGCAACATGAAGGGGTGAAAAACGTCGCTTACATTCCCACGAACCACATGCTTCCTGCCCAAATGCGCAGGTTATTAGAATCTCAATACTGAAAAACTCATTGATTATGAGGGGGAAAAGGACGGAAAAAAAATACCCTGGTCAAGTTCAGATGGGAAGAGAAGACGACGCGGGTAGGCAATCTATCCCTGTGAAGAAGCACAACGGCATTGTAATTGTTCAGGAGTTCGGAAAGGCACTGCAAAAAGCCAAGAATTACACCATAATAATTAAGGATTCAACACCTGCAAACCAGAATTGAGTGGAATATGTGTCCAACCCACCTCCCATCTGTAAGAATCATGCTGATCCTGCAAGATGAGTTTGGCCACAAATTTGCATGCTTTTCAATCTGAATACTTTTCAACAGTAAATATTTTCAATATATTGTAAATCGTGAATGATATTAATTTTGTGTATTGTATTTGATCATTGTACCTTCCACAGATACTTGTAATGAACTGATGGCATAGTCGTTGATATTATCATGTTGTTTCTACACTTGCTGCATCAGAAGAAAGTTTTGCAAAATGCTTAACATCACGATATCTTTCGTCTTTTTTTTACTCTTTGATTTAAGTTTTGTAATTTAAATTATATTTTTTATAAACCGCCAATCCACCCAAACCGCCAAGACAAATCCGTCATTATTTGTCAACCAAATCATTGATTTTTGATAAAAAAAATGACAAATTTTAATAACACTTTTAACAATCCGTCACCTAACATACTATTTCTATTTTTCTCTCAAACCGGAACGAGCGGTACCGCGCACAACCCCAGTCCCGATTACGAGTGTAAAATTGAACTAAACTCGGCTTTCGGTAAACAGTGGGCACGCCGGTGTTAGTTGTCTCATCAGAGATCCCGATCTCCCTGGAGCCAACGGAAACCTAAAAAATTTGCTTTGAAAATCGCACAATTCCATTTTATCACATCCACTGATCTGCATCCAAGATTCGATGGGGCTTCTCAGCATCATTCGAAAGATCAAGCGAAAAGAGAAGGAAATGCGAATCCTCATGGTGTATGTATGCTCTCATAAATCAATCTCTGTCTCTGTCTCTGTCTCTGTCTCTGTCTCTGTCTCTTTGTACACTGTTATGTATAAATGTTGTGTAATTATGTGTTAATGATGTTGGTTGTTGTTGATGCTGCAGAGGACTTGATAACTCAGGGAAGACGACAATTGTGCTGAAAATCAACGGAGAGGACACCAGCGTTATCAGTCCCACTCTTGGATTCAACATCAAGACCATCGCTTACAACAAGTCTCTGCTTCTCCTTCCTTCCTTCCTTCTTTCTGTCACTCTCACATTTCCATACTTTACATACTCTTTTTGATTTTTGTGTATGTCCCGTTATTACTTGTCGTTGCTGTTTGTTACTAATTTAATGACTTTAGTGTGTATAGTTCTAAGAGGCAATTTGTCAAACATGTAATCTGGATACTAATACTGCTACTGCTACTGCTTGAATTCTGTGATTTTGATAGCTAAAGTCTCCATTACTGATGTTAATCTATTTTTGGTTTCAATTACCTAAATTTCAATGTTTTGAATTTCCCTTTTTTTCCTCATTCTCTCTTAAAAGAGCCTTGGAAGTTTGTTTGTTGTTTTACACTCCATCCATAATTATTTGAAGTTTTAAAAGTCTCGATTACTTTTGTGAATCTATTAGAGCATCTCCAATCCTTAAACTCTTTTTCTTTTTTTTCTTTTTGATAAAAAATATAAAAAATTCAAACTTATCCTAAAAATATGTTAAAACCATTTTTGATGAAAGAAAATCATCTCCAATCCTTACTGTGCGGGAAATGCCACATCGGTCTGTGAGGGACTACTTTCCCACCTTATAAGCAGACTGGCTCCTCTTACCTTGCATAGGCCTTTTCCTCCAGTGGGGGAGGAACAAAACCGTGCAGCGGGTTTCGCCAAACCGGACAGTATGTGCAAGAAACAGGGAGTGGTTGCGTCATTTGTTTTGTTCCTTCCCCACTGGAGGAAAAGGCTTATACAAGGTAAGAGGAGTCAGTCTGCTTATAAGGTGGGAAAGTAGTCCCTCACAGACCGATGTGGGATTTCCCGCACATTAGCCCCCGGCCGCTCCGGCTCCGGCACCGGCACCAGCGCAATACATCCAGATGCCGAAGGGAGTTCCCACAGAAATGAAGCAATCACTCCCTGTTCCTTGCACATATTGTCCGCTTTGGCGAAACCCGCCGCACGGTTTTGTTCCTCCCCCACTGCCCCACTGGGGGAAAAGGCCTATGCAAGGTAAGAGGAGTCAGTCTGTTTATAAGGTGGGAAAGTAGTCCCTCACAGACTGATGTGGGATTTCCCGCAAACTTACTATTTTCAAAATTTCATCAAATTTGAGTAAAAATATGACCATTAGAAATTTGGCATAGGATTTGGTTCATCTTTAATTTGGTGTAAAATTGCTTCGCCATTGATTTGATATAGATTTGATGTAATAGTTGGAGCACACTTTTGGCCATTTTTCATCAAATTTGAATTTGAAGAAAAATTAGATGAATGATTGGAGATATGCTCTATTAGTTTTATTTGGGTAGAATATGTTTTGAATTTCTTTCCTTTTCCTTTTCCTTTTCCCCCCTCTCTAGAAAGAGCCTTGGAAGTTTATTTATTATTCTATTTCCTTTACTTAATTTGCAACACAGCATTGAAAATTATTTGAAGTTTTAAAGTGATTTATTGTGATACAATGGAATTAAACTTGATACGATAACGGCAGGTATACCCTTAATATATGGGATGTTGGGGGCCAAAGGACAATCAGGTCTTACTGGAGGAACTACTTTGAGCAAACTGATGGCTTGGTATGGGTTGTTGATAGTTCTGATCTGAGAAGACTAGATGACTGCAAATTCGAACTTCACAATCTTTTGAAGGAAGAGGTATCACTAATTTTTCTCATTCCTGCATCTAAGCTTTTTCCTCTATCTCCTTCTTTGTTGATTATAAAAGATGCATATGTTTATTGAGATATAGGATTAAAGCAAGCACTTGGAATACTATAGCTGGTTGGATTAGGGTGTTTGTTGTCTAATTCTGAGTTACTCTTTTGTTTGCCCGCAACTTGTTCTAGTTGCAATTAATATTTTGTTTTGTCTAATAGTATGATTCGTATACCATGAGTCAATCTAAATAAGGGCTAATTATTTACTTTGATTTTATATTTTATTTTTATCATGCTAGCGAATGGAATGGTTCTGTATTCTTTTAAGAAACTTATTGTTTAAGGACTGGACTGCATTCTTATTCTTATCACTGAATTTTCTGATAGTTCATGCGTCTTTAACATTGTAATACTTGAAACAATTTTTTGTAAATTACAACCTTTTTTCTTTTATTATTTAGTTTATAGACCCCATGCATGAAGACAATCTCCACCTTGTCCTTCATTTGAGAATTACAGTATATCAAAGAAGTTTAGCATAGTGATAAATATGTCTTTTTAGCATCCATCACTTTTGTTTATTGTAATTAATCTTTAATTTCTAAGTTCTTTACAAAACTTCTTCCTGAATTTTGTTGGCAACTCTTACGTTCCCAACTTCTCCTGGTACTTTGGGGATTGGTTGGAAAATTTGTTTTTTTTTTTTATTTGTTGAGTCCAGCTTTTGTCACTGTGTTAGGACTGTCTCTGTCTCCCTGTTGTTGTGACATGTTTGATAAAAATATTTGAAGTCAATAGATGGGAGGCCTCTGTCTTGGAAAGCAATATTTTTCTTCTTGATTGTTGAAGATGGCTGTGGATAATAATAGCCAACGCCAAGTCACCACTACTTGTCTGTTGGCTTGGAAAATAAAAAGGATTGCTGCAACATTTAAGTCTCTTTATTACATTGTAAATAAAGGTCTGTAACTTTCCTTTTAGGAAAAGGTAATCATATTCTTATTAGAGGATCTTGGATTGTACCCAATCAATATTGAGGGATGAATTCAAATATCTCTTGTGCAATGATATCCCCTTGTCTACATCATCTCTCCTAGGACAACTTATGTAGCCATATAGGAACACTCATGAGCCTGCAAGACTGGATTGTGGTTGTTGATGTGGCACTTTGCACAATTATCTGCGGTAATAATTTGGTTGTGCATTTCAATACAATGGAAAATAGTACTCTTGATTCACCAATGTTCAAAGATTTGTCTTCGTTGCTGAGTTTATTGACCATGATCCAATTACTTCCCTAAAGAGTCATAGGTTTGAAAGCGCATGTTTACCCTCTTGATCTTTAATACAAGTACATCTTATGTTTAAGGATCTTCCTACTTTCCTTTCGTTTGGTTTTTAATAGTCCATTCTGGGAAAAAAAGACCTAGCATGATGAGCCTTGTGCATTGGGTACAGCCTTCTATACTGAAAATATGCTTTTATACATTTACAAATTGATATCACCTTTTTTGTACTTAATTTTAAGACTGATGTTGCCAGTTTCAGGATTAAATATTGGAGAGCTTACCTTTTCTTTTTCTCCTCTTTCTGTCTCTCAACAGAGGCTATCAGGAGCGTCATTACTGATTTTTGCAAATAAACAAGACATACAGGGGGCTCTTTCACCAGATGAAATAACTAAGGTAAGAGAACAACTTACAAATTTCTTATGATCTGTGTACAGGTGCATATCTGACCTTAGCACTCTCAATCTCTTTTATAAATTAAATTTACTTCTAAAATCTTTAGGTTGTGTTTGGATCTATGATTTGGGGAGTGATTTGTGGAGGGAAAGGAAAAGTGAGAAATGTGAATGAAATATAAGCTAAATTTTTCTCTCTTGCTTTCACTTTTCCTTTCCCTGCTCAAATTCCCCTCCAAATCTAAGATCCAAACACAACCTCATAGCTCATTTTTGTTGTCTTGTTATTAATAAAGCAATGGGTTCATAGTCGAGAAAGTTGTTTATATCCACTTAATCAGCTGTACTTGTTCATGAAGTAGTCTTTTGTTTACTATGATCTGTACGCAAACTTTGGTAACATAGAAAGGCTTTACATTACCCATGAGCAGTTCAATGGGAGTTGTAGGATGAGATCACATTAGTATGTGCTTATAAAAAAAATAATATATGATTCCGGAAGAATGATTACTTGAGAGTCTTCATTTAGTCTTTGCATGGGGTGGGTAGGTGGGTTGAGTGGATCACGCATTATGTGGGTTCATGTCATGTTATTATGCAATGTCATTTGAAGGTTTAGTTTCACATATTTCCAAATATATGAGCAGTTCGTGCCCCATGACCTGTGATCTATTGATCAGAGACTAAACATGTCAATGATAAGCAGAAACTTTCAAATTTAAGCCATGATCTAGCAGACAATTAACATTTTCGTCATCTGGGAACCTTCTGAAGTGGATTATCTATTAACGGAATCTTCTGGTATGATGGTTACAATAATTTGTGCAGGATGATCCTAAGCATTAGAAGTTGCTTTTGAACAATGGATTGATATGTATTGCTTTCCCATTGACGATTGGCCATAGCACTAGAGCAGCTTTTACATGAATTTCTGGCTGGCGATGCTTATGTAGTGCTTTTGTAATGGATTTTTTTCTATAATTTTCAATGGAGGGATGGTAATTATATGTAGAATGATGATAATAACAAGACTTTTTCTGCCTGAAAATGTCTACTTTTCTTTTCTCTACCCCCTCCCTTTTGTTTTTTTCTTGTGTCATGGAGAAGAGGTGGGGGTGGGAGATGAATCTAGCAATGTATTTACTGATTGCAACTTTGAATTCTTTGAGCTAAATTAATACTTTCTAATTAATTTATGCAGGTGCTCAACCTGGAAGCCTTGGACAAAACCCGGCACTGGAAAATTATTGGCTGTAGTGCATACACCGGGGAGGGCCTGCTTGAGGGGTTTGATTGGTTGGTTCAAGACATTGCCTCTCGAATCTATGTGCTTGATTAATTCATGCTGAAATCTCAATCGTTGTCCTTGTAAAAGACAATTTTGAAATGCATTCGTGACAGCTAAATTTAATTTGCAGTCCAATTTATTAATGCCCCGTATATACTTACTGTGGGCACAAAATGTTGTGAAAACAGTATTGTAATTGCCAATGGTGTGATGGCTCTGGACAAGAAGGCATTTGATTTTGGTCGAAGAAAAGCTTAGTTCATTATATATGCTTGCTATTTTATATAACTCAGCAAACACCAGGAAGTGCGGTAGAATGCTTTTGAGATATTGCCTTGCTTCTCCATGAAATCTTTGTACTTCGTCACTATATTGATTTGGTCGAGGAACCTAGCCTCAAATGTGCTGCCTGGGTTTGGATTTCTTGAAACTACATGAAAAAACTGTTTTAAGGCAGGATTTACTTATGTCAAATAGGATGTAGTTCGTCACTATATTGATTTGGTCGAGGAACCTAGCCCCAATGTGCTGCCTGAGTTTGGATTTCTTGAAACTACATGAAAAACTGTTTTAAGGTAGGATTTACTTCGTCACTATATTATTTATTTATTTATTTTATTTTTAAAAAAAAAATTAAAAAGTTACTTCTAAACATATTTAATTTTTTTTTTTCATCTCATATTTTAGTTAAAAAAATTAAAATGTCACTCTCCAAATATATTCTAAAAAATTACTTAAGTTAAACTAAATGTTACATTAACTTTTTACTCACAAATTTTTTTTAATAATTATCTAAATATATTACTTTAAAATAAATAAAAAAAAAACATTAAAAAGGAATCGGTGTGGGTGTTGTTCACCTGCACAACCGCCACTGTTGCATGGCCGTTGAGGCTCATTTTGGGTCTTATTTTAATAATTTAAACTGTTCATTTTAAAGTATATCGAGTATAACATAATTACAAAAACTCACATTAATCAAATATTGGTAACCTTGTCATCAAATCATAGTTGAATTTAGTTTTATTCTTAAAATCATACTTATTATTTAAAGTAAAAAAATTGTGAAAAAATATTTTAAATAAAAATAAATAAATAAAAACCATTAAAAAGGAATCGGTGTGGGTGTTGTTCACCTGCACAACAGCCACTGTTGCATGGCCGTTGGGGCTCACTTAGGGTCTTCTTTTGATAATTTAAACTGTTCATTTTAAAAAATATCGAGTATAACATAATTACAAAAAATTACATTAATCAAATATTGGTAACCTTGTCATCAAATCATAGTTGAATTTAGTTTTATTCTTAAAATCATACTTATTATTTAAAGTAAAAAAATTGTGAAAAAATATTTTAAAAAATTAACAAATACATAAAAATACGAAAAACATACTAAATTTTAGTATTTTTATTGTATTTTTTATTTTTATTGAATTTTTAAAAGATTTTTTTCACAAAAATTATACTTTTATGTGTATTTATATTAAGTGTGTCTAAAATTTTTTTTAAAAAAATTGCTTAAAATATTAAAAAAAATTGGTAAAAACAAAAAAAATACGAAAAACAAAAAAATAGAATTTTTTGAAAACTGTTTTCAGGAAAACGAAACCAAACAAAATTTGATGAAATAATCATGATCAACTTAATTTCTGACAAGTATGTTATACTCGATATACCTTAATAACTAATATAGTTTGAATCATAAAAATAGGATAAATTACAAATACATCCCCCGAGATTTGATTAAAATACAAATCGCCCCCTTGTGGTTCTGAAAATTATATTCCACCCCTTGAAGTTTCTAATTTTATAACAAATTGCTTCTTTTATTAATAAATCATCAAGTCAATTAACAATTTTTAATGATGTTATAAATATGTTTCAATTAATAATTTAGGTAATTTCATTATTGTATAGGAGAGTAATTATAAATTTCTTTTTTTAGTTAATTCTGTTAAATACAAATTTTTAATAAGGGGGTATTTGGAATTTTTCAAACTACAGGAAATAATCTATACTTTAAGCAAATTTCAATGGATGTATTTGTAATTTATCCTAAAAAATAAGACCTGAAGTCAGTTTCAACAGTTGAAGTGCACGTACAATAGCTACCCTGATTCCTAAAAAAAAAGTAATAAATTACAAATATACTTCATGAGGTGTGCTAAAAATATGAATTGTCCCTTATAGTTTTGAAGATTACAAATACCCCCTTATTATAATTTTTCATTTAACAAAAATAACAAAAAAGATTAAATTCATAACTACTATTCTATTCAATAATAAAATTATATGAATTATTAATTGACTTGATAATTTATTAATAAAATTAATTATTTATTATGCAATTAAAAACTTGAAAGAACTAGATATAAATTTTAAAACTATAAGGACAATTTATATTTTAATTAAACCTCAAAAAAATATATTTGTAATTTAACCTTGAAAAAAAATCCAACCACCCTAACACCAAAGTTTTAATCCGGTAGAAGGGGTCTTGCGACGAGGCACCGACCACAAAGTCGGTGCACGATCCCGTTCATATATAATCCGAGAACCTCTGCACAACACACCCACGCTGTCTATGAAGCCCTTTTTTTAATTTTTATGAATAGAATCGAAAATGTGGTGCACTCATAACAAAATAAATTTCTAATTTTTTATCTTATTAATTTAAATTTTAATATTTTAATTTATTTTCAATCTAAATCCTTTTCTTATTTTCGTTAGTGTACATAAAATATAAAAAATATCATTTTTTTGGGTTAAGTTTAGTAACAAAAATATAATTTTTCGTTAATTTTACCAAATAAAAATGAATAGATAATTTAAATTAAAAACAAATCAATAGAATTTAAATTAATAAAATAAACAACTCAAAAATTATTTTGTCGTAAGAATCAAATCCTGAGATTTGTTTTGTAATTTTCTCAAAATAAGAAGTTTTCTGTTACTTTCCGGGAAAATTTCGTAACCAATACAGAAAGTCCAACGGAGCAAACCCTACAAATCGCTGATCTCCCGACTACGTCACCCCCATAACAGAAGGTGCATTATTGCGATCCTAGCCAGTACTTGCTCCTTCTTTCCTTCTGTCTCTCTCTTTATAATTATTAACTCTCTCTCTCTCTCTCTCTCTGTGTGTGTGAATTGGATTGGAGTTGAAGTTGATGATAATGGCAGAACAACAACACCCAGTGGAAGCCATTGGATGGGCTGCCAGAGACACATCTGGTGTCCTCTCTCCCTTCAAATTCTCCAGAAGGTACATTATTTGCTTCTCTCTTTAAAAAGAAAGAAAGAAAAGCAAAGGGTCTTGTTAAGAATATAATCTTATCGCTGAAGGTGGTTCTTTTTTTTTCTTTTTTCTTTTTTCTCATATGTTTATTAAACTTTACCAGTATGATAACACATTTCTCACATACTTTAATACTTATCTTTAATCCATTTTTCAATCTTAACCAATGCCTTAAGGTGGTGATTAGCATTTTAATTAGTATTTGGAATGATTTTTGATGTGTATGATGTGATGTTTTGCCTAATTAGATTTGTTGACTTTTTTAATTAAAAAATATATTGTCAAACAGGATTTGATTAATTGAAATAGAATTATTACAAATCTTAAAAACAAAATTCATAAAATTATTCAGAATTTGAAATCAATGGTTGAGATTGGCCCCAGTACAAAGTTTGAATGTACCCCCTTAATAAAAAATTCATGATAATTTTTTTGATTCTCTGTACTTTTCTCAATGGAAAAGATGATAGTTATAGAATTTTTATCCAAATATTTTTGAATTATAAAATGTGTAATATTAGTGTAAAAATATATAACATTATTATAAAAATACGTAATTTCAATTTTGAATTACAAATTGTTGTAATTCTATGAGAAAAATAAGTAATATTTGCCATAAAAATATATAACATATCATAGAAAAAATACGTAACAACATACATATGACACCCTATAAGAGTTGCTTATTTATTATTGATCTTAATTGAGCATGGTTGATTTTGTGTGTTGTAGAGCGACTGGAGAAAAAGACGTGACGTTCAAAGTGTTATATTGTGGAATTTGTCACTCCGACGTTCACACAATTAAGAATGATTGGGGCAACACGAACTATCCGTCTCTCCCTGGGTACAATTCCATGAGCTCTCTCTCTCTCTATATATATATATATTTTTTAAAAAATTTAATATATATAAATAATTATTTTGTAGTTTTAGAGCTTCATATGACATTGTTACGTGATGTACTAAACAAGTAAAATATATAAACTCACCTATATTACTTAATTTAATAGACAAATGATAACTACTTAATATGTATTATTACAATTTTTATTAGCCAAGAATACCATGTAAAAAATGGTTCTAATAATATATACACATTTTGAAGGGCCAAGAATACCATGTAAAAAATGGTTCTAATAATTTTCCGATATGTATACACATTTTGAAGGTTTCCACATGTTAGGGTTCCGTAAAAATATATTGATTTATTACATTGGATTGGGTTGATTTGGTTTCAATGAAAAAATAGTTTACTTTTTAGGTCCGAAAAACTGAAAACGATCATAATGAGTTCAATTCTGATTCAGTGCAAACTCAAACCAACTGACTCATGCTCGCACCTAATAACAATGAATGTTTTCATTTGAACGAAAAGGGTGAGGGATGGTTGTTTTCTCTCGCTCTACTCTACATCAACATTTCTTGTCTTGCTCCACACAAATTTTCTCCACCCTAGTTAAGAAATGGGACGGGGATAGGTTTTGCTTCCGCCGCCCCATTCCATCCGAACCCTTCCCCGATTATATTTATATGTATATACTATATATAATTTATTTATTTTTCATTATAATAAAGTTAAAATATTAAAATATTATACTTAATATTAATTTTTATTCATTTATTTTTTATCTTATATAATATAATTTTTATTAAGTATAAATTATTATTTATAATATATTATATTATCTATAATTTTTATTAATATTTTTATTTTTCAATTTATAAAATTAACCCACATCCACCTCCCTGATTTGCCCCCTTCCTATATGATACATGATTGAGGCAGATTTCTATAAATTCACCCAAATTCGACCCGTGACCATCCGTAGGTGAAACTTTACCTAATTAAGTCCAAAAAATCTAATGATAACTAGTGTTTCCTGTCAATTTTGTGTTTTAGTGCAATATTTGTCATATTTTTTTTATCATATTGTTAGTAAAATTCTGATTGGAATGAGATCAACAAAAGTCAATCGATAAAAACTAGTACCAATTTCACACAAAATAGAATGAAAGATCAACCAACTGTGGTTTTGAATCCTATGCTTTTTGACAGATTTAAGCATTTCTTGAAGTGAATTGATGAAAAGAAACATGCACAAACTGGAATTGAATTAAAGATAAAATTGAACTTGTTACTAAATTACAAGAAACAAAAACAAGAACAAGTAAAAATGTTACAAACTATGAACTAATTGCTACATTAAGTTACAGAAAAACTATTCTTAAGCAACTAACTGCTACTCCTATTTTTCACAAGTGTTGTGAATGGATTTGGTGATGCTTCCTTCTTCGATTTCCTTGTTTTTGAACCTCCACTTGGCCACAAACTTTGCACTCTCTTCCATACTTGACCCAACTGCCCATCTAATTCAATTGCTTGTAATTGCCCCTTTCCATTAAGTTGATGTTCGCCTTGGCCATATCATCATCTCTATTGACAGGCCAAATTGCATAATTCATTACCAACATAATCTCTATCAAGAGGCCAAATTGTATAATTTAGTACCAACACACACACACACACACACATATATATTATCACATGATGAGACAAATTCATATCAATTGGTGTATTGGATTCACAAAAGCCTCACTAATATTCAACAACTGTATCAAGTGATAACCAACAGCAATAAAAGATGATAAAAGTAATAAAAAAATGGTAAAAATAACATTATCATGTTCATATGTAGTGGTATGATCTGTCTTTCATTTCATTTATTTTATTTTTTAAGCTTTTGGTGGAGTTGTCATTTGAGATGTTCAAGTTCCCCCTTAAATATGATCTTCATGTAACAGACTAAAAAAAAACATGCAAAATATTACTATATTTTATATACATAATTTTATTTAAATGATGCGGCAGTGATGTTTTTATAAATTAAATGTCATTTTAATAAACATTCTATTTTAATTGATAAGTTGAAATGAAACCATATCAATTTATATGTAAATTTATGTATATATTTTTTGTTTGTATATCATTATCAACAGTTTATACATCAACTTAATAGAAATTGCTGGTTGGATGTTGAAATACTAACCACTTTATTGATAAAATCTGTCATATGAATGGATATGAAAATGCCAATTACAATTTGATGTGTGTCAATTAAATTGACAAATGCAGGCATGAGCTTGTGGGTGTAGTAACAGAGGTAGGTAGCAAGGTGCAAAAATTCAAAGTTGGAGACAAAGTTGGGGTGGGTTGTATTGTTGGATCATGTCACTCTTGTGACAATTGTGCTAATGATTTTGAAAACTACTGTCCTAAAATATTACTTACCTACAATTCCATCTACTATGATGGAACCCCAACCTATGGAGGTTACTCTAACATTATGGTGGCCAATGAGCATTTTGTGATTCGCATTCCTGATAACCTTCCTCTTGATGCCTGTGCTCCTCTCCTCTGTGCTGGGATCACAACTTATAGCCCCCTAAAATACTTTGGACTTGATAAGCCTGGTATGCATGTGGGTGTGGTTGGTCTTGGTGGACTTGGTCATGCAGCTGTGAAATTTGCCAAAGCTTTTGGTGTTAAAGTGACTGTGATTAGTACCTCTCCTGGAAAGAAGAAGGAAGCTATTGAACAACTTGGTGCTGATTCATTTGTAGTCAGCCATGAACCCGATCAAATGAAAGTAAGCATTTTTTTCCCTTAATAGTTTTGAGTATTGTTATAATCAAAAGTTTATGGGCGTTCTTGATCGGGGAGCTTATTTTCTTTTTGTTTTGATATGTTGAATGTAAATAGGGTGTCATGGGCACATTGGATGGTATCATTGATACTGTTTCTGCATCTCACCCTCTTCTACCATTGATTGGCATGTTGAAGTCTCACGGAAAGCTCGTCTTGGTTGGTCTACCAGTGAAGCCAACTGAGCTTCCAGTATTTCCTCTAGTCCTTGGTAAGCATTTGACATAATTAATTTATGTTGAGGAATGTAGAGAGAACCACCACGTCTATGTATACAAAATCCAGTCATAGAAAAATACATCAAACACTACACAATGCTGCTTGTATTTTTCTATGGTTGAATTGCTTGTACCTAAATCTTTTCGAAAGGCTTAGTGTAATGCACCAATTACTATTTTGTTGCTATATGCATTAATTTCTAGGATGTCATGCCCAAGTTTTTTGTCTCTTTAATCCTTCTTGGATCTTCAAATAAGAAAAGATATGTAATAATAGACAATGTCTGAATCACAGGGGGGAAGATAGTGGCTGGAAGTTGCATTGGAGGCATAAAGGAGACGCAAGAGATGATAGATTTTGCAGCAAAACACAACATAACGGCTGATATTGAGGTGGTGCCAATAGACTACGTGAACACTGCAATAGAACGCCTTATGAAAGCCGATGTTAAATATCGATTCGTGATTGATATAGGAAATACATTAAAAATAGCTTAATCTTTTTGCTTTGTGGCTATTGAATTTCACTCTTCTTTTTGGAATATCTTGTGTTATTGGATAGGGATATCCCAGGGATTCTAGGGTCAGGAAGTTTTAAACTTATTTTTCTTGTGGTGTTGTTGCTAAGATTTATTTCTTCTTAGCATTCTAGTTTTCAACAGTGTATTGGATCTCATTTTGAATAAAGAATATTTGTCAACTTGTCAATTTTTGCTAGAATAAAGCTCTGTGCTATTTGTTCTCCAAAACAAAACTAATTTATTTAAAACTCATATACACAATATCAAAAAGTATAGGATAAATTACACTCACCTGTCCTGAGATTTGGAAGAAGAAAAAAAAATACAGTTAGTCCTGCACTTGTGACATAATTACAATGATCTCTTTTTTGTAAGGCTAAAGCGATCAAAACTAATATAGATGGTAGATATACATTGAAATAAATAAAGATAAAAATACATTTTAGTTGCAAAATGATGACACTGCATTGATGATCGTACAAAGGATTCTCAATCATCTACACATTTACTCGAATACAAATTGGATGAGAAGAATAACAAATTGGATGACAAGCTTACCACTGTGTCAACGAAGGGCAATGTCAAAAGGATGTTCAAGCATCAAAACTCCAGCAACAATGGGCTGCCTGAGTTTCAGTATATTGAATTGGTCAAGGAACCTAGCCTTAATGGGCTTGCCTGAGTTTGAATTTCAAGCCTTCTTGAAACTAGGTTAAAAACTGTTTTTAAGCAGGATGTTCTTATGACAAATATAGAGTTAGCAATCCAGTTTACAGTTATTTACTGTAACCGTTAATCAGAGGTTACATGGCACCACGACATTGTGCTGCTGCTTCCCTAAAGCTTGTGTGAGGAGGTGGAGTTATCAACATAGTTTAGGGTTTTGTAAATCCATTAGAACTTTGGAGGGCTGACTACAGATTGTGACAAGCCAAGATAAAAACACAGGCGAATTGATTGCAGATTTTGAAACACTATTCAGAAATCAAGGACAGTTATCAAAATCTCAGCAGAACAAGCTCGTTATTCAGCTCAAAGCAACACCCAGGGCATGTGTGACTCTTGTTCAACCACTTTAGAATGCAATCTCTGTGGTACAAAAGAGAACAAGGCAGCTGACCTATGAACCAAACAAGAACTCCTTCAATTCAGAGTTGCCCACTTCAAAGTTTTCACAACAATGCTGCATTGGAAGGTGAAGTAGTCCTCATGAATCGAGCAAAGTTTAAAATTTTTGTTATCATACGATCTGATTCTCCAACAAAGTGTTGGTAATGTTGCCACCATATTCTGTGATTGAGTAATGATGAACAGAAAATTAACTCTTGAAACCATGCTATCTGAATTTCAATGTTTACCATTAAAGAACCTTTCTTCAAGAAGAATATAAGACTACCTCCACTTCCTCCCCGGAAGGGGGTGGGGATGCCCCTTCCCTGCGTAGATAAAGAAGCAACACAATAATATAATTACCATAAGATAAAATGATAAACAATATCATAAGCTCAATGATGAGAACAAAGAGTTGGAAAGGAAGCCAAAAAAAAAATAATATCCCGCTTTTCAATTGATTCCAAAACTTCTTACTAAAAAGGAAAGCCCTAATACAAACACAGACATGGAGGTTAAATTTCCAGAATCTGGTCATGGATGCTCACCATAGAAGGCATAGCATTCCAAGCAGAAAACCAAACAACGCAACTCTGCAATCATTTTGACTTCTTTCCCTGTTTCTTTTTGATAACTTCATCAATGTACATTATACCCTTCCCTTTGTAAACTTCAGGAGGCTTACAACTACGAACAGCAGCAGCGAACTGATGCACCCTTTGCTTGTCAATCCCGGTGCAGCAAACTATATTGGGTTTGAAGCAAAACACACGGACAGCTGGAGGCACAGTCAGTTCAACTTCATGGCTGTATCCCAATTTGAGGTACAAGAGACGACCTTCTGATTCAGCTCTAGCCTTGAAACCAACACCCACAATCTTAAGAAAGCGGAAGAACTTAGCTTCCATAATGATAGGTATAGCAATCACCTGAAATGAAGCGAGAACGAGCAAGCAGAAGTGAATTCAAATTAAATAGGAAAAAATAAAAAAGCAAAAAATAGTTAAGTTGTTTTCACGATTATAGGTGTTTTAACTCTTCGAGGAAGGGCAACAATATGCTAGGAGGAAGGACACAGTTGGGAGGTAATCAGTTTGGAATTTATATGTGGTGTGTAGGAGTGGTCTTCCAACCATAGGTGTAGCCACAATGTGCAGAGCATAATGGCCTTCAATATATTTTCTTCTAAATATTCTTTTTTGTGAAAGGAGAGGAAATTTAAGAGGGGAAAAGGGTTGAGTTTGCTGTAATGACTAATGAGATTACCACCAGGCAAGGAAGAGAATAAACTTAAAGAGTGTTAAGCTAATGAAATGCAACACAAATAATTCGAAGAAACCCACTGGTTGCCAAAGTAATGTCAATGAATATCACTCGGCAAAGGAGGAAAGGATTAGGTGTTTTACTTAAACTCCAGTTCTAGATCTAGAGATAACACTACCAGGATGCTTGAAGCCCCAAGGTGCAATGCTTGAGCCTGGATGGGAATTTGGCCTAGACGTGCTTTTAATAACATTGCCAATTGGTATTAAAGGGGAAAAGGAGCACAAAATATACAGCAGCAATAAAATGGTACGAGATGGATCATGGGTGGAAAGATTCATTTCTTTTGTGCACTAACACAAAATGCAAAACTATTTTGGATCCATTTGGTTTCTCAGAAGCAAGGTACAAAAGGCAAAAATTTGAAGATGCTTTCCAAAGTATGCATTTTCCTTTCCTTCCGTTCATTCTCTTAGACCAATAACTACTGTTTAGTTAATAGGGCTGCAAAATGAACCAAGCCACTAAAACTCAACTTGTGTTCGGCCCGTTAAAAGTTTGTTTGAGATCGACACATTATATAAGCAAGTCAAGCTTAAACACATTTTAAAATTCGTTAAGTTTTTAAACCAAGCTTCAACAACATAATAGGCTCCATAGGCATATATGCACTATAAAAAAACAAGTTACTCAAGCTTGAATTGTGTTCGGTTTTATTAAAAGCTCATAGCAGATTGGCTCGTTATATAAACAAGCAAGCTTGATCACAAATTGAAGCTCGTTAAGTTTTCAAACCAAGCTTAAACAACTTATTACTTGACTGGGCTCGTTTGTAGCCCTATTAATTATGCTGATATCAATTACAACGTATTCTTTCTCCTCTAGATCAGAGAAAACAGTCCAATTACAAAGCCTATTTTAGTATGCAAAATTGATAAACACCCACAATCAGTTTTCATCCCAATTAAACCCTTCCTTCCACACAGAGCACAAACTAATAAACTATGACTAATCTGAACAACCACAAATCCTGACATTTTTGTAATTGCAAAACTTCAACATTTGGTGCCAAAAAATAAATAAACGATTTATTCGTACCAGCAAATGATTGTTCACAGTGTTATTAGGATCGTTTGAGCTGATGCTTTCCATCTTTTGAAAATAAACAACGAAATTTATGAGATTTAGAAAATCTATTTATTTTCTTTCAGTTTTCTCGAAGACCAAACAGATTCCCAGGCAAAAAAATAAGACCCAAAACAGAAAAGAAAAGAAATGAGAAGATTTGGGGGCATACCAGAGGGTTTTTGTTGGACTGATGAAGGCTCAGAAGCTGTCGTCGTTCGCAGGAAGAGTTAGGGTTTGGGACGAAACCCTATTGAACTCAGTCGGATCGGAGTCCGACTTCAATTTAGTTGTTAATAATAACAATAATAAGAGTATGGTAAGCAAAAGATTAAAGAACAATTATTGATATATTAATTAGTGTATTAATTGATAATGTGATATAATTTAAGAGATTATTGAAATTTATAATGTGATTAATGAGTGAGATTAATAATAATACTTAATATACTAATTAGTGTACTTAGCACCATCGAAAGATTAATATGAAATTATATCAAGTTTCATTATAACCTATTAAATTTTATTTTTTTAATAAAATGTTTCTTCATAATGATGAATTTTATCTTAATTTTATTTTTCTCATTTAATATGAATAATAATTTGATAAACAAATTTTATTTACTTAAAATTATAATTTTTAATTGTACAAATTATAAACATTATATTAAGTAAAACAAATCGTAAACAACAATTTCAGCAGAATAACTATAGTATAAAATTTGTCATTTGAAGAAACTATGAATTTTGTTGTGATAAACAATAAAAAAGGTAAGATTTTATTAAAATTATATCAATATAAGTTACGAAAAGTAATATGGTGAGTTTGTATAGTTTGTCAATACTTGAGATAATTGATAAATCATATATTTTTATTTTTATTTATAAAATTTTATTTAATTTGAATAATTAAAAATATTTTTTTGTAAAAATTTAAATAAATTTAAATTGTTTATGAATTTTTTGTTCATATTTTAAGAGAAGAGTAAAATTGGAAGGGAAAAAAAAATACTATTTTGAAGAATTGAACTTCTTGTGAATAATTCATAAAAAATAAGACTTATGCCCTATTTGGTTCATTAGAATGAAATAGAATAGCAATTTCTTAGACTTTCTCATATAATGATCATTTTATTAAAATGGTGAAAGATGATTCTATTTGTCTTTTTTTTTTTTTAATTTAAACAAACATAAATGAATATTTTGATAAAATGATCATTTCATTCTATTTTATTCTAGTGAACCAAACATAACTTAGTTGTCCATATTAAAACTTACTAACATTCAATTGTAATCTTCAATGTAAAATAAGATTTATTTAGCTTGCTTGGTTCCATTTTTCCAAAAACACTTTTCAGAAAATTCTACTTTCTTATTTTTTGTATTTTTTTGTTTTTACTGAATTTTTTTAATATTTTAAGCAATTTTTTTACCTTTTAGACACATCTAACATAAATACACCTAAAAAGTAAAAAAATTATAAAAAAAATCTTTTAAAAATTCACTAAATACCAAAAATACAAAAAAAAATACAAGAATTCAGAACATATTTTGTATTTTTATGTATTTATTAATTTTTTAAAATATTTTTTCACAAATTTTTTACTTTTTAGATACATCTAAGTAAAGTGCATCTGAAAAAGTAAAAAAAATGTTTAAAATTTTAAAAATATTCACTAAAAACAAAAAAATACGAAAATCGAAAAATCCTGTTTTCAAAAAATTTAATTCAAAAAACTCAAACCAAACACACTAATTGGAATTAGTGTGTGGACAATGGAACAACCCGACAGAATCCTTACCTGATCGAATGTTCGGTGTAAGTTGTTCGGTTTGGTCAAAACCAAACCAAACCAAATCATTTGATTTTGTTTGTCAAGGAATCAAAACTAGTACATTACAGTTAAATATTGTCAATTTTTTTTTTATTGTAAATGAGCAATTTATAAGAAATTTTAAAAGTTTTATAAGACTCCAATTTGGATACCCAAACTGGACGTCCAGTTCGTGTTTCAAATGGTCGCCACATCATCATTTTTCATAAATTAATGATTTAAATTTTGTTCACTTATTTAAAAAACTATTGTTAGATTCAAGCAAAAAATTAGACCCAATATTTAATGGATGGGTTAATGAGTTAATTTTTGATTTACAAAAAGTGTCAAGGTGGCACAATCTTAGTGCTGTTAGTTAGTGCTCGAACAACATTAACTAGAGAGAAGTTATTTCTTTATAATTTTTTTTTGTAAATTCTTACCTAAAAGTAAATGGAAAAAAATGGTGGGGATCTCTATCTAAACGGACATCAATCATGTTAAGAGTTGCGAAACAAATTCACTTGGATGCAGTTTAGCAATCCATTGTACAAAAGCATCAATAATCAGCATCAAAGATTCAGCCCGGGGATCATAGCATTGCCTGTTCAACCTGACATTAAAATACAGGACTTTTCAATCAAAACCAATCAAATGAATCAACTATGGCCATAACTCGAAATATGGCAAAAAAACAAATATTGAAGATAATGAAGCAAGATCAGAACATCAGCACCACTAACAGAAGTTAAAGGGCTTCTTGAATAAGCTTCTCCGTCAGAGATTTCGGAAGTCCCATAACAAAATCAGCTGTTCCTACCTGCAGGAGAAAAGCAATAGATGCCGATGTTGTGAGAAATCAACCCATCAAACGATGCAAGTAACCAACTCAAAAACAAATTCAATGAGAGGAATTCTCCATCATCTACAGAATTACTCGGATACAAATTGGATGACAAGCTTACCACGGTGTCAACAAAGGGCAATGTCAAAGGATGTTCAAGCATCAAACCTCCAGCAACGTTGAGCATAATTCCTTCCTCAACCTGAACATTACTCGCCGCATAAAGTAGGCATATTATATAAAAAAAATTACAAATAAAATCCATATTGTTTGTCTATTTTTACCAGGCTATCAATGACCTCATTTGGTATGTCATGGAAATAAACCTGCACCAAACACCAATAACAACTACTTTTCTAAAGTCAATCATAAAACCATCAAATATACATAATCCAACAGGTATATTAATCCTAAATTCTTGAAAGTAATGCATGGGAAAATAATTTGAAACATAACTTAAAAGGTAGAAATATTATGCAAGTAAGAATTGTGTCCCAGGGTACAACTCTCACTTGAACTGGGGCACATGCCTTACTTGAACTCCATTGATTTATAATTAATTTTTCCATTTCTCATTTATCTGAAATTCCCCGATGTAACTTTCCCTTCCAGCAAAATATATGCGAAGGGTGGTGTGTCCTGTTCATCTAAAACTGGGCACTTTTTTAGCAAGACAAGACCAATGCATTTCAAGCAATACCATAACTTTGTATCCCATTCTTCGATGCAACTTCATTTTTTCAAAATGCAAATCAAGTACATTGCTATATCTTGCTTTCCTCTTGAAATGATGAGTTGTTCCTTGGCATTAGCACAACAAGCCAAACTAGGACTAGGATTACTAGATTTGTTGATTCTGTAAATCTGATTAATGAAGTTGCTTGCAACTCATTAAGAATACTCCAAGGCCCGTTTGTTTTGGGTTATAGCAAGGGGATTAGGATTACTAGTACCTTGGGATTAGTATACGAGGTGTTTGTTTTGAGAGATAGCCTTGGGACTATTAATACCTTGGTATTACTAATACCTTGTTTGTTTTGAGAGATAGGGAGGATACTACTAATACCTTGGTATTACTAATACCCTTGGGGAGGGGATTCATAGTGAGGAGGTAGAGATGGTATTAGAAAAATAGTGAGGGAATTAGAAATTTTTTTATTTTTTTTATTTTTTATATATTGGAAATTTTTTTTAAAATATAATTTTTAATTTTTTATATTTTTTTATTTGTTTTATTATTTTATATAAAAATAATTTAACAATTCCTCACTACTAATCCCCTCTCTATCAATCCCCTCACTAACAATCCCTCATTATTAATCCTCTCACTATCAATTCTCTCCATTCTATCTCTGAAAACAAACGACCCTCACTAACAATCCCCTCACTATTAATCCCCTCACTATCAATCCCCTCCATTCTCTCTGAAAACAAACGGGGCCAGGGTTGACAAAATAAATTTTATAAATTTGAGCTTTTAAAAGTACATGAACAAAAACTAATTGGGAGGAGAGTGATTTGGTAGCCCAAGCCAGATGACTGGAAATTGGAATGTATCAAAAACCAGAAAGCCTCCAAACAGTAAGAATACAAAAGGTAAAAATTTAATTTTTTATATTTTTTTATTTGTTTTATTATTTTATATAAAAATAATTTAACAATTCCTCACTACTAATCCCCTCTCTATCAATCCCCTCACTAACAATCCCTCATTATTAATCCTCTCACTATCAATTCTCTCCATTCTATCTCTGAAAACAAACGACCCTCACTAACAATCCCCTCACTATTAATCCCCTCACTATCAATCCCCTCCATTCTCTCTGAAAACAAACGGGGCCAGGGTTGACAAAATAAATTTTATAAATTTGAGCTTTTAAAAGTACATGAACAAAAACTAATTGGGAGGAGCGTGATTGGGTAGCCCAAGCCAGATGACTGGAAATTGGAATGTATCAAAAACCAGAAAGCCTCCAAACAGTAAGAATACAAAAGGTAAAAATGAGTCGACTAATTTTGATTTTACATCAATTCACTTTGAAATTTCCTATTTCCTGATTCAGCCTTATCGATAATCAGCCTTCGCCAAGAATACAGATTCGATAGAAGAGAAAAACAAAATACCTCTGCGCTGTCCCATCCTCCCTTTCTGGTACCTGTTTTTAGATTGGTTACTAGTACAGATCCCACCACTGTAGCACTACCACCAGAATAGCCTGCAAATTATGTGAACAGGACCACATCTAGCTAATCCAAGTAATGGAATTATGGAAAGCTGAAGTAGGAAAGGTCATTAAGCAAACCTTTGATAAACTGGCGTGCTTCTTCCTTGCTGGATGGCTTTTCTCTGATCATCCCTTCATACACCACCACCTCAATATCAATTAGATGTATAAGTAAGATGTAACCTCAAATAAGTTCCATTTTCCAACTAAAAGAGAGAGGAAAAAAATAAAAACTATTAAAGAGAAAAACAGTTATTCTATTATTCTATTTGCTTATAACATGTTTAATTATTTAGGACACTGGTTAATCGAGGAGATAAAAGACATTCGTCACATACCAACCAAGCATCTAGCAATTTGATTGAGAAATCAACAGATTTACCTTGTTAGAGGGGCACCTGAACCAAAGTCCCTTGAAAACCTTATATTTGACGCGTTCATACTCATTAGTAAGACATCTTAGTAGATTTCAGAAGAAAATAGTTTATAAGGTGATAAGACCATCAAACTGCTGATTTTTCTTCCTCTTTGGAAAGGTCTCCCTATTCTTTATTGTAAGATTGAGTTTTCTAGTTTAGGACCACCTGATTGGGAAAAATATGACCAAGGACATCACCTAGACAGAACCTATGGATCCCTGATAGGGCAAAGAGCACATTCCTATGTGGAAAACAGCCTAAAAATTTTCTTCTCCATATGATACATTCTAACACCTATGAATACATCTCATATGTGACTAAACTAACACATTCAACTTTACAAGCACCTCATCAGAGTATATAATACGTGGAGAGGGATAGTTAGAACCTAGATAATGATGTCTAGATAATGATGCCAAAAAATGATTCCTATCAGGCTGCTGTGGTAAAACAATATAGCCCATATGTGACCCCTTCGAACCAGGAAAAGAATTGGAGGTGTGTATGCAAAATTAGAAATATAGTCATCTCCCAAATGAGATCAATTTGACAGAGTGTAGGTCCTAGTAAACAAGTCCTGTAAGTATTTATTTTGAGGAGCAGGGTTGTGAATAAGTTACGTAGCAATTATCCAATAAAACTAGCAATGAATAATTTTATTTTGCATGCAATCATATTTTCAATTTTTTTCTATTGGTCAAGATTTTGGGATGTTTCCCACTATTTGCAGCTCCTGGCAGGCTGGCACCCTCCTTCAGCTTCTTTGCCGTCCCCACTATAGCACATGGAAACAAAGTGGTGTGCAAGAAAAGAAAATGGAGTGCCAATAAACCTACCCAAGATATATTTATTTAGTAAATGAATCATTTAATGGTGATGCTCTATTTTGCATACAGAAATGTAATGTTCTAGCTCGGTGATAATAGTTTTATGCTGGTATTAACACATTTTCCTTTGTGGCAGGAATATGTTACTTGGAACGTGGATCATTCCTGTACGTGGAACGAAAATAGGAATGTGATACGCCAGATACTCAAAATTGTAGCAAGATAGGGGTAAGCTTGTACACTTTACACTAAGAATTTAATGTACTTTTAGTAGAGAAATTTTTTAACAATTAGACATCCAATAAAATGTAAGTTTTTTTTCTAAATTAATCATATGAAAACACATTTTAATAAACATTATGACTCATTTTTTATGTTTTGCCATGTTAAATTACACTCACCTTAGATTTTATCTCATTGTTTTTTTTTTTTTACTCCTAAAGAAGTCTTAAGGAAATATGTTAGAACAAACTTTTGGGATACCTTGGATTGCCAAATTTAGTATTTTGGAACGAAAGTGTACCATGTTTCGATATGTGCGTTCCAAAACATAATTCACTGGGGTAACAACGTTTTCAGATAACACTAGGTAGGATGAAGCTTTTGAATCTGTTCACCATCACCCAATATGTTGGCTATGTGTTTTATACACAATTTGGTTTTCCTTCCACAAATTGACTACTCTTTTATAGTTCATAGCATCATGTTTAACATAAACTAAATAATGTTCCCTTGACTCCACTTTTAATACTCTTATAGTCTTACCAAATGGTATATTCTTGAGGTACATATGGCTACAAATTATATTACATTATGTACATAAATGTCAAAGAATACATAAGAGAAGAAGATGAATAAAAACATACTGTGTCTGCAGTAATTAACAGCGTAGAGTGAGCATTGTCCTCCAAATGACTTGTAATTTTGAGCCTTGATATGATGGCATCTGCCTAATAAGAAATTTCCATTAAATCAAGGTAAGGACTAGAATCAAACCCAGTCTTCATAATCATATAGGGCCCATGCACTGAATATGGGCATACTTTTAGAGGCATGACAGGAGGGGGAAATGTGGAAGAGCAAGTAGAAAGTATTCAGTAACGATATTGAACAATTTTAAAATTCATAATTACAATGAGCATAAGAGATAGGCCAAATGTAGGTCATCAAGCAGTAAGAAAGGGGAAGTCATTCAAGATAGGCCTTCTTCCTTCCCGTTAATGTCATTATCCAGAACCTCAAAAAAGTATTTGCTCCAACTTTACAAGAATTGATAGCGTTAACCATATTAATAGAATTCCAAACTCTTTTAGGCACATAGTTCACCAAGTCCACCAAGTCCGAGTTACTAATGTGCTCACTGAAGAGGGGATGCGATAGCTTTCACGTGACCCTTGATCCCAATTTTCAATTATGTGACTTTGTTCTGTATATGTCTAATGACTAATAGTTCCTCAAGGAATTCTTTTTTTGCATAGTATCTAAATGTACATCTAGCAAATAAAATGGATAATATAATATCTTAAATTGTAAATTAAGAAGAAAAAAAAAATGTTGTAGAAAAATAGACAGGAAAAGGGGGGAGCTAATCTGGGCCGGAAGGAAAATCACAAATAGAACGAAAACTTAGAAAAATCAAAATCATAACGTGGCTAGAGAAAGGAAAGGACGTGTTCTCATGTGGGCAGCCCCTTAGCAGGAAATGCATCATAATTGGCTGAAACAACAATCTAGAAAAAGTACCTAACCAGTATATTAGAAAGATCATTCGCTACTTTCAACTAGTTGGAGAATTCTGAAAACCTCCCTTACCATTCCACATATTATTAATCATAAAATCATAAATTCACAATACTAATAGCAATTTCTGATGTAGTCAAGAATCAAGATGTTTGGAGGACACAGTGTGCAGGACATCAAGGAATCTTATTCCACATAATGCCTAGATATCCCTGATGTTTAACTGATTAATTTGAAACTACCCACATGATCAAACACAAATAAATTGATAAATGCTCAGTTTAGTGCATGAAATTCACCTTGTACCCGACATACTTTGATTTGAGTTTCAAACACAAATAAATTGATAAATGCTCAGTTTAGTGCATGAAATTCACCTTGTACCCGACATACTTTGATTTGAGTTACAAGGTATACCACTCAGACAAACAAGAAATCATGTAAACCACAAGAAACATTACAAAAACCAAAAAAAAAACAACAAACAACAAACAACAAAAGAAAACTGAAATGCTGGCTTACCATTTACTCACCAGCATATAGCTAGAGGCGTGCAGTAAATTAAGACTGCAAATTTGAGTTATTGTGCATAATGTAAGAGATCCAAGACCATGTTTGATAGCGGGATAGGAGGGGGAATAACGGCTACTCCAACTTTTGGTTCACAAATTTCTCTCCCCGGATAAGGCCACAGGATTGCTCATACCAAATATGGGGATATGGGGATTAAATGAGCGATAACTAATTAGATAAATCCGAATTATTTCGCTCCTTTATCCAATCATCAACATTAATTATACCCACTTATCTCATTCTTTATCACTCCCTAATCCAACATTGTACAAACAATCATACGTTATATAATCCTATCATATCCAATACCCAAAAACAAACCTTGAATCAAACATGTATAATATATTAGACGAGTCAGAGTAGTAGTAGTAGTAGTAGTAGTAGTTTCATTTTCATACCTTTGCCTCAGCAAGAGCCATTACCAAATCCTCTGGCTTTTCCCTCCTAATACTTTGCTCATCAATGTCTGCTGTCTAAAACCAACAACCAACTTGAACCTTCTAAGTGGCAATATATCAAACAGTTAATGGTTGAAAGAACAAAACATACCACGATTGAGAATTCATATCCCATTTCAACTAGAATTTGTCGACGAGCCATTGAAGACGAACCCAATATTATCTTTCAATTAAAAGCATCATCATCACATTCACAAGATTATTACCAAACTTCATTCATCGATACATATATATACATAGACATAGACATAGACATATATGCATATCAAGGCATAACTAGAGAGATTGAGTAAATAAATACTACAAAATGTAGGGTAAAGAGGAAAGAAGATGGCGAGGCCAATGTAGCTTTAGAGAGCTGGAGCAAACCTTAAATGGTGGGTTCTTTGCATTTGCAGCCATCTCTCTCTCTCTCTCTCTCCCTCCCTCCCTCCGATAATTTAGGAGATAAGCACTGTAGAAGAGGGAGAAGGACGTTAGCGGACGTTAAAAAACAAAAAAAATGAAAAAACCTCAGACTAACCATTGTAACAAAATAAACCTATAGATTTTTAATTTTATCAATTGAAATTATAATATTTTGATTTGTTTTTCTATCTAAATAATCTGTCTATTTTTGTTAAGTAAAACAGATAAAATATATATATATATATATATATATTTCAGTCATTAGTCAACAAAAAATAATACAATTTAAATTCTAATATTTTAATTTATTTTCTATCTAAATCATTTTTTTATTTCTATTAAGTAAAATAGACAGAAAAAAAATGTATTTCAGGCATTACAAAAAATGATATTTTACATGAGTTTAATGGCGAAAATACTTTTTTCGATTTTACTTGTCAGAAATAGACAAATAGCTTAGTTTGAAAATAAATCAAAACATTAAAATTTAAATTGACAAAATTATAAATTCAAGATTGATTTTGTTACAAAGGTCGGTGGGGGAGGGTGTAAAAGGATAAGCATTATCCTTAAGAGATTGAATCCTAGGAGGACTCTGTATGGAGAAATACAAGTCCTACTAGGATTGTGCCATATGAAACTTATAAAAGCTCACAAGCATCACCTTGGAGGAGGTAATTGAACACAATCTTTTTGAGAACTTAGAGCTTTGTCTATTTGTCAAGTTTTTCTGACTTAGGCATCGGAGAGGTTTCCGGCACACACCCGCCGGCTAGCTCACGTTTGTGTTTTCAGGTGACAAAGCGACGTCGTACGGAGGAGCGTGGACTTGGTCAACAGGATTATACGAGGAGAATTATTTCCTCCCCGTACAGAAAGTATCAATAAAATTTAACCGAATTCTTTAACCAATTTTTATTTACTTTTTAAGTAAAACTTTTGAGTGAAGGAAATTTGGTGTGGCCAACTTGGCTGCTAGTTCTTATGCTCTTTCACTGTCTGAAAACTTTTTAGCAGAATTTCGCAATGTCCATGCCAGTGGCAATTTTATTTATTTATTTTTAATTTTTGCACAAGTAAGCATTTATTGTCCAAAAAGAAAGATAGAACAATGAAGCTCAGTACACTGATCAAATCAAGAAATTTATCAATGGTTAATCGACACAGTTGGGTCATTTGAAGGAGAAGAAGAATCTCCCCTCATAGTTCAAAAAAAATAAAGGTAAATTCAGCTCCAATCAGTAAATTCAGTACACGAGTCCCCATCGGCTGACTCAGTCCTTGATCCAATCTACATGTTATATAGCTTTTTTTAAATTCTCTTTTATGTATTCTCACTCAGCTTGCCGATGATATTGCAAGACTAACTGGCTGGCTCTGGACTCACCTCTGCTCCTACTTGCGTTGTCTTACAATCAGATCCCCAGAATTTAGCAGTTTTCACGTCCTCCGGCGCCATCAATCTTGAAAACTCTTCATGGTCATAATTCAAACTAGCTTTTCCCCCGAACTCACTTGGAAGGTTTTCAGCATCAAAATTTGACTTCATGACCTCTTCACTGTCTTTGTGCTTTGGATAAACAAACTTGATCTTCTGAAAAGTTTTCGCATCCACAAAATACTTCACAACCTGCAGGGATTGAATGGAATTGGAGCAATTGTTAATAAACAGAAGGCACAACTGCTACAAATATCATTAATACATTCTGCAATATTAATCATGTTACAAACCAAAACCATCTTTATTTTTATGCATAAAAGTGCCATATATATAATTTTTTTTTTTTCAGAAAAAAATAAAAATTGGGAATCAAGGAAAAAAAGTAGCTCAGCTTTCGAAAGCAACTATCCAAGTCCAGCTCACCAAGAGGATAAATTTCACTAGGCTTCTTTTCAAAAACCATCATACCAGGAAGGATGTTTACAGATGCAAAGATTCTAACTTCACGGCAAATGTTAATAAGGGGGTGGCTATTAAATTTTTTTTAAAAAAGTTTGGGGGTGAACTAACTTAGTTTAATAATATTCATAAAGAATACTACTATAATCTTTCCTTCGAACCAAACAAAAAGTAGCACAGATTTCAATTCAGAGAATAAAAAAAAATATGAAGGATAATGTGTGGGTAATTATGGTAAGGAACATCAGAAGGATTGTCTAAACAGATCAGCAAATATTTTGTTATTTAACTTAGGGTCATGTTTAAAAAAACTGTACATTTTTTATTGCATGCACTTACATGCAAAATGTATAATCTTTTTAAACTTCTTAACAAAATCCTTTAACTAGTAGAGCAAGGTACATGAGGGCAAGAGCTCAGACCTTCCAAAATGCCTCAAAGATTCTCGGTGGATTATATTGGACGATTAAACCAAGTCTCTCAGGGTAGTGATTCTGTAAAACGTAACTGATATCTCGGGCTACTTTGATGGGAACATTGGTGTTCAATGACCATCCCGTATAGTCTATCAACCATGTCATTTGTTCTTGACCTTCAGGAAGGTTAAGGATAGCATTCTCCACGAGATATACTAGATGACGGAGATTACCTTCTCCTGCTGTTGTTTTCTGCAACAAAGTAAATAGATAAGTAAAATTTTAAAAAGCAACTAGTTAACTTACAAAAGCGAAGCAACAGTATGTACACCAAAGGACATACCTGCATCCCCGGCCTCATTATAAGGACAGTCCTCCCAAATCGATCACGAAAATCTGCTATGGACACTAGGCCGTTCTCACCTACATGTGCTACTTCACGCTGATAATGATACAAGCCCACATGTTAAAGTAGGCGCAATCAGAGATCATCATGTTGAACAACAGATCATAGCTCCAAACTCACAAGTATATCAAGCTGAATTCAAAGCACAAGATACGACGATAATATTTAATCTACTACAAGGAAGTTTTAAATTCCAACTAATTTTTCTCATATTTCATGATAACATCTGAATTTGAGCCATTTTGGAATTGATAATTCAACCAGTATTGCCTTGCTATACATCAATATGATAAAAGACTATTGAGGTCCCATTTGAATTTCATCCAAGACAAAGATTGTTCCAAAACCAAAAATCTTTACACCATTAGAGGGCATGGAGATGTTGGTCATGTAAGCAACTAATAGAGAAATCGTAAGTAGGAGACTATGATGAACTAACACATGAAAAAAACAACTAACATACAAATCATAAGCAGGAGATAATGTTGAACTGACACACACACACACAGAAGAGCAACAACAACAAACTGCAACATATATTTGTCCACCAACTTACCCAACGAATTTCCTCTGGTTTATAGGTTGACCGCCACTGCAATGTCTCTTCCAACATTTTCTTTGCCTTTTCTACATTCCAATTTCGAGCTTCCAAATATCTCCCCAGACATGCATCAGTGCAATACTGTAACCTACGTCCAGATAGGGGTCCAATTGCAGCCCTGAGTTCACTGACCTGCTTGCTGAGCAAATATTTAGGGTCTGCTTTCAATTACATAATAAAATAAATAAATAAATAAAATTTATTTTACAGACAGTCTGCTACATAAAATTGAAAAAATCTTTAATTTGCTGGTTCAGAAGCCATAACAAAATGAGGGTGTTTCTTCTAGGTGTACTGTAATTATGCAGATGCTAAAGAAATAAATTTGTGGTAACTATTCATGATTTGTCAGCCAGTTCATAGACAATGGCATGCAATCAGATAAGCATTACAAGAAGAGACTGCCAGTTAGAATCAAGAGCCAAAAGAAAAAGAGTATATATCTATGAATGTGAATGTCTCTATATATATATGGAAACAAACATGCATTTATTAAACAGGTTTCTGTCTGATAATCAGTTCGAGCATGCCTTTACCTTTGTGTCTTGTGAAGAATCATTCTCCTCATCCTTCTGAGACGGCTTTCGCCAAAACATGGAGATCATGGAACTGTTAAAGTAAAAAGAAAAAAAATCAAATCAAATTATAGAACCTTAAATAAGATCATTTGAAACTTCCATTATACTGTTTTTTATCATATGGATAATTCATTGAAAATAAAGAATTTGAAAATCTGAATCATATACATGATCGGGAACAAAAAGGATATTATTAGGAAGAAACAGAAACACAATGGAATAAAACTTGCACCAGGAAATAGACAGGTACTGTGAAATAAAGCTTGTCCTTCTTTTATTTTTTTATTTTTTATTTTTTTGTCTTTTGTGGCTAGGCAAGACAACATTTTTTTGTCTAAGAGACGTCCCACGAAGCTCCAGATTATGTTTTTCAGCATAAGATTTGTACCAACTAATTTGATTCTGCCTTCAATAAATAAATAATCAAATAGCTGGCCAGAAATTAAATAATTTGTTCAGGATTCAATCTGGATATCAGTCAACTCTCTTCACAACTGGCATAGAAAGTGCTTGCCTCACAGATGACTAATCAAGGTATATTTGGTCAACTTATTCATTGTAGACTATTATTTTGCCAAATAATCGAGAGTGGATGAACTTGTTCGAAACGCAATAAATTCTTCCCATTTAAAGAATATCTAAATACTTGTGTTCCCACTCTTTTCCATTAGCCTTACTCTTTTATTACCCTCACCTCCACACAGATTCTTCTATTTGTGTTGCTGTTGTTGGTTGAATTGTTATATTTCTAACCACTTTAAATGTCACTTCATTCTCCTATTCCTAGTTTTAGAAGCAAGAATTTGCAACACACACTGATCATCATCTCCAAAAGACAGAATATAAAGAAGAAACCATGGATCAATCCACAAGTATGCTAATAAAGAATCTCCAGCTTCTTCGTCATTGCTTTGTGCTGAATATTTAAGTGCAACAATATCATGTATCTATTCCTTCCCAAGATAACACTAATGTTGTGTTTGGATTTTGAATTTGTAGAGAGATTTGTTGGAGGGAAAAGGAAAGGAAAGGAAAGGAAAGGGAAAAGGGAAAAGTGAATTGACTTTTTATTCACGTTTTACTTTCCTTGTCTTTTCCGTCCACAAATCTAATCTTAGATCCAAACACAGTTTAAGTGATGATAGGTTGTTGCATAGATAATGTTTGGAAACACACACATTTATTTGGATGAATGTCGACTCTACTAAAAGTCGGGGAAATCTATCTTAACCAAAACCCGGGCAAGTAATTTTTAAAAAAAATTACTAAAAGATAACAAAATTTTGGTGGGTCCAGGACTCCAGATTGTTTGGCAATGCTTAATGCCCAAAATGAAACTAAGTAGGTGTACAATGGAGGATGAAAGAGGCATAGATTCTGCTCATCCTCAACTTCAGATTTCACATAGCAAACCATATGCATACGTTTCTTCGCAAGCTTTTCAAGCCGAAATCTGAAATTTCAAGCGGAAACTGAATCTGCAAAATTTTATCGAATCAAGCTACTGCAAAATTTTGATTCAAAACTTGTGAAGCACAATAGAGAGAGAGAGAGAGAGAGCAATTAGAATCTCACCTGGAAATTAAACCCTAATGCTTCGCAGAAACTCTGTTTTCTGCTTTCTTCGCAAGCCTTTCAAGCCGAAATCTGAAATTTCAAGCGGAAACTGGATCTGCAAAATTTTATCGAATGAAGCTACTGCAAAATTTTGATTCAAAACTTGTGAAGCACAGTAAAGAGAGAGAGAGAGATATGGAGAGAGGGAACTCAACAGGTCTTTTTATGATGAGAACAGAGAAGGGAGAGAGATAAAGATAAAATAGAAACTCAACAGGTCTCTTTTATGATGAGAACAGAGAAGGGAGAGAGATAAAGAGAAAATAGTGTTTGAGTGAGAACAAAGAAGGGAGGAGATAAAGATTGAATAACATGAGTGGGATTACCCTTTTAACTGAGCTATCCGTTGGCTAGTTATTAAGACTTGTGCCGGTCGTCTTGTCACCAATCGTACTGACAGTCTGTCACTTCCATGCTACTTGGCACTCCCCTAAAGGCTCCGTGCTGTCCTCGCAGCTGTCTTCATCACGCGCAAAATATAAAAGGTTGCCGCCTTTTGGTTTCCCCCCCCCCCTTTATATACACACGTGAGAGGCCAAACACGCCACCACTGTTCATCTTCTCTATCAAGCCAAACCCTAGCCTCCTCAGAGCCCTTGTCGTTGCTACCGTCGTTGCGGCTTCTGTTCGTGCCATCCCCAGTGCTTTTCATCGCCTAGGACATCGCACCAGTGGTCAAATATCGATTGCATCTCAACTTGTCTTCCAAGTGTGTAAGTTCCTCTTGCTTCACACCCCCTTTTCATTGTTGTTCTTCGTGTTCTTCTTGTCTGGGACTGTTGATACCCTGCCAGTGCCCCTTCTTTGGGGTAAAATTGGTAGGTAAGTAGACATTAGGCAGAACTGGAATCGAAGAGACGGATAAGGCCATCGTGCCCCTCGTTTCCCTTAGTTTCAATGCATGAACTTCACATTTAGGATGAATAGCATAAACTCCGGATAAGACCAAGCAAAATCCCACTTTAAGATCCAACAATTGGATTTAGCCGAGCAAAAACTGGTTCGTAGTCCTCCATTGAGGCTGAGACCGAGATGTAAGTTTGTAGGAAGATACAACTAAGATAGGACGATAGGACCGAGATAGGAACATCGAACCGGTCAAACGCCCCCAGGATCTTATACCGAGCTAAACACTTACTCATAAGAGCCGTGCAAATTATGCCGCGCTAATACTTGGACTTATTTTTAATAATGCAGAACAAACTAGGATCGACCAGGCTCACTCAGCATTACTGTCGGTGAGGCTCGAAGGCCGAGCAAACAATCACTAAATTTTGACCGAGATACAACCAAAATTACCTAACTAAATAAAACCGGGATAGATGGGGAAGTATCGGTTCATGGTCAATTCGCCTGGGGCAATGGCCGAGTTCCATAGAGAGTACAATATTCCAGACGACGTCCATTTGGAGCTGGCCAAGAAAGGAGACACTCCCTGGGAAGAACTGGACAAATGCCCCTTGACGGTGGTATCCATTGTGGAAGGCGGCTTACGCTTCCTGGTCCAACCCCTAGTCTGCGAATTTTTGAGGCAGACTAGGCTATGCCCAACCCAAGTCTCCAACAACACGTACAAAATAATAAACGGCATGGCCGTGCTAAATAGGATACTCGGTATGAATCTCGGCTATTCCATCAATACACACTTGGCAAAAATAAAGGAGGGTTTTGCTAGTATCTCAAGATCAAGAAAGGCCGAGCAAAACTGATCGAAGTTAACCCGAATAAAAAGACAAACGATGACGATTTCCTGTGGGTGTCCAGTAATTACGAGGACACCGAAGCACCCATATTGGGCTGGTACATAAGAAAAGATTTTGGGAGTGCTGGTGAGCACCTCAGCATGTTTTTTTTTTTGTAATTGTTCTTGTTTTTGCCAATCTAACCCTTTCTTTCCTGTTGCAGACTACAGACTCTTGGCAGAAGATTACTCCAGCGCAAACCAAGAGGCCATAAGGATTGCATTGTGGCACCCGGCCGAGGAGCGAGAGCCTCAAAAGTTGCTCGGCTACAAACCGAGTTACCGTTACACAGCGCCGCGCAGGAGCAAGGTGACCGACTTCTTTCGTGCCCCTTCTCCAGAGCCGGATCCAAACCTTCCCCCAATCAAACTAGTTTGTTTGACCGCCGAGTAGGAAATGGCCAAGATCTGGGCTATCAAATCTATGATCACTGGCGAGCTGAGCAACTTTCAGCCCGCAGAAATAGCTGAGGGATAATCTTCCACGCCAATTGTGCAAGACAAGGGGGTAGTGCTGGCCCTCAGTAGCAAGCAAGCTGCCAGTTGGTCTAAGAAGAGGCTGAGAAGAAACCAAACCGAGCAACATTTGGTGGATGAGGATTCCACCAAGCATCCATCTGCCGACTTGGGGGAGCAGACTGATTAGCCAATCACCGAGCCATCTGCCCGCTCCAATGCCCCACCAGTCTGGTCGCCCAAGATGAAATACAAAGGCCGCGTAGTTACTACCGCCGACTCGGTCTATACCGACAAGGACTACTCACTCGGCTTCAACATGACCAAGGGATTGCTCCTCCCTGCCGACATGAAAAAGCATGAAGAATTGTCCGACCTAAAAGTCATCCGTTCGGCAACAAAGTCAATCATGCTGGTAAGTGAGCAAGCCCCCTTGTCGTTAACTTGTTGCTCGGTTTCGGTGTGTTGATAACTCTTTCTTTCGCAGGCCGCGCAGAAGAACTATCCGACCCACAAGCGAATGATCGCCGTGCGGCAAAGTCTGCGGCCATTACCGATAACAAGGCCAAGACCGCTGAGCTAGAGAAGTTGAAGGCCGCACAGGAAGTGGCGGTGGCCGAGCGCGACCGACTCGCAAAGCAGCTGGCCAGGGCGGATGAGGATAAGCAAAACACCCTCCAAGTAACCAAGGCCAGATACATCGCCGAGCTACGCAAACTCCGCGAAGCCCACAAGGCTAAGATGGATAAGCAGATCGACGATGCTGAAGACCGCGGCTATGCAGAGGGCGAAAAAGCTTATGAACAGCAGGTACAAGGGACCAAGGACATCTTTTCCCAGTGCGGTTGGAAAGACGCCGTGAAAAACTTGGCCTTAGTCAAGATTTTGACCTGTTCCAAAATCCCCCTGCCCCCTTCATCCCAGCTCACATGCAAGCTTATGCCAGCGCTATGCAAAAGAAGCTGATAGAAGAGACGAAGCTAGTAGCTGTGACCGAAGCTTCCACCGTGCAACCAACCAAGCAAAATCCTCCTTTTGAGGTTTCTGAGGAAGGAGCCCAGGAGCGTGAGGAGCCCGAACAGGAGGTGGACGCGGTGGTCGACGCTGAAGTGGAAGATGCCGAGATAGGGGCAATCGACCAAATGGACACCGTTGACCTGGATTGATCTTTTCTTTCTTTTCTTCTCTTTTTTTTTTTTTTTTTTGATGTAGCCGGGCTACGACCCACTTTTGTAATCGGACTTTATTATGAATGAAAATTTAACTTTTTGCTCGCCATGTATGTGAATTTTTGTTTGCATTGTTGTTGTCATTTTCTTCGGTTTGGCCGAGATAAAATCTTCTCGGTCTAACAAGCAATCTCATTTTGGTTTGAAATATTAGTTACACATAGCATCAACTGTTTGATAGGCCGAGAAAGGTCAGCTCGGCCATATTAAGAACTAGGTAAAGACACCAGTTTTTAAGCAAGCGAGCAATGTCAGCTCGGTGAGTGAGCAAAATCAACTCCACATTGGTGAGCAAAAATCAATTCGGATAATTATGAACAAATTGACTCGGCTAAAGTACAAGTTGGGTAATGTCAGCTCGGCCCTACCACAAGTTGGGCAAAACACCAACTGTTTGCACAGGCGAGCAATTTCAGCTCGGCCCTAACACAAGTTGAGCAAAACACCAACTGTTTGTGCGGGCGAGTAATTTCAGCTCGGCCCTAACACAAGCTGGGCAAAACGCCAACTGTTTGCACGGGCAAAGTCAAGTCCTTTTTTGAATACTTGCCCCTGGCACCCATAGTAGTTTAATATCTTTGTACAGAAACGCATAGTATAAGAAAAGATAGGGCTATCTTCCATTACACGGCATTGATTTATACCCAATGCCAAAAGGCCAGGTTACAAGAAGCAAAGGAATAGAAAATATTACAGTTCAAAAATAAAATATCTTGACATTGGCCGCATTCCATGGTCTAGGGATAGCTTTACCATCTAAGTCCTCCAGGTTGTATGCCTCTTTGCCTGCAAAGCCAGTTATACTGTATGGCCCCTCCCAATTTGCTCCTAATTTGCCTTCACCAAGGATCACCGTGTTGCCTATTACCTTCCTCAAGACCCAGTCTCCGACCTTGAATAACCTAGGATGCACGGTCTTGTTGTATTTTCTGGAGAGCTCTTGCTGGTAAGTTGCTATGTGGATTAGAGCCCGTTCCCTTCTTTCTTCAGCTAGGTCAAGTTCCAGGACTACACCTTCATTGTTCAAGTCTAGCTGAAAACTTTCAGATCGGATGGTTGGCATGCCAATTTCCAATGATATGACTGCCTCCATGCCGTAAGCCAAGGCAAATGGAGTTTCCCCGGTTGAGCGCCTTGGTGTAATGCGGTATGCCCAAAGCACATTCGGGAGTTCCTCAGCCCATTTCCCTTTGGCCTTCTCCATCGCTTCTTCAGCACGTCCAAGACGGTTTTGTTTGAAGCTTCAGCTTGACCATTTGATTGAGGGTAGGCCGATGTAGAGTTGTAAAACTCAATCTTTAATTCTTCGCAAAATCCGCGAAAGAGTTTCCCATCGAACTGAGTGCCATTAGCCGAAATGAGGGCCTTTGGGAAACCGAAGCGAGTGACGACATTCTGCCAACCGAAGCGTAGGTGCCTTCTCTACCCACTTTGTGAAGTAGTTGGTAGCAGCGATAAAAAACTTGCGGTTCCCTGGGGCTGTTAGAAGTGGTCCTACAATAACTAGCCCCCAAAGCGCAAACGGCCAAGGACTTGTAAGGGGCAACAACTCTCTGGCCGGCTGGTGGATTTGATGAGAAAATTTTTGGCATTTTTCGCATTTGCAAACATACTTCTGTGCGTCCGCCTACATGCATGGCCACCAGTAACCCTGGGAAATTGCTCAGTAAGCCAAAGATCTGCCCCCAATATGGCCTCTGCAGATGCCTTCATGAATCTCGAAGAGGAAAGCTTCTACTTTGCTGGGGTGGACACACTTCAGGTATGGCCCAGTGAAAGACTTCTTGTACAAGGCGCCAGATGGAGAGAGCCAAAACCGCTCTGATTTGGCCCTAATCTTGTTGGCTTCCTTCTTTTCAGTGGGTAGAATTCCATCCTTCAGGAAGGTGATGATAGGATCTATCCAGGACAGTCCCAAGTCGGCGCAGAATGCTTCGGGCATCTCTGGTTCCTCAATGCTTGGTCGGGGTAAGAATTCTATCATCAAAGGATTGGGAAAAGTCATTTGCATAGATGCTAGGCTAGCCAGTTCCTCGGCTGCATTGTTTTCTTCGTAGTTAATTTGTTCCATTCTTATTGCGGCAAATTTTTTAATTTTTGCGCGTACCAGCGCTTGACACTTGGCCATCCTTTCATCCCTAGCCTCATATTCCCCTGAGACCTGATTGACCACCAGCTTAGAGTTGCTGAATACCATAAGTTTGACACTTTCATTTTCAAAGCACTCTTCAATCAGGCAAGGAGGGTTTCGTATTCCACCTCATTGTTAGATGTTGGGAAACCGAACGTGATTACGTGCTCAATGGTCAGCCTATCCGGGGATGTCAGTACGACCCCTAGCCCGGCGCCATGTCTATTGGAGGCCCCATCAACGAAGAGTTTTCACATCTCGCCAATGAATAACTTCCAACAATCGAAGGGATTTTGTGAGTTTCTCAACTCCAAGGTACTGATCGGCTCATTCTGGTCTCTTTCTATATCTCCGTCGAGCTTGTATTTTGGTAAGCTGGCCGGTTTTTCCATTTCTTGCTCGGCTTTCTCTTGCCCTTCTGCTACTTGTTTTCCATCGCTTGTTTCTGCTATCCGAGCCGTAGGCTGCGCCAAGTCCGTGCTAGCCAAATCGATAGGGTAAACAGGGTGTGTTCCAGGGGCAAATTCTGCCACGAAGTCGGCAAGAGCTTGAGCTTTGATAGCAGTGTGCGACTGGAACTTGATATCATATTGCCCCAATTCCACGGCCCACTTCAAAATTCTACCGGTAAAATCTGCCTTTTCAAAGAGCACCTTAAGCAGAAATTCGGTTAGCACGACTATCGTGTGGGCATGAAAATAGTGCGCTAGCTTTCTGGAAGCTATCATGAGAGCCAGAGCCAATTTTTCTAGTGGCAGATATCTTGATTCAGCCAGGAGCAGTGTCTTGCTTACGTAGAAAATAGGGAGGTGCTAGATCCCCTCAGCGCGGATGAGGACGGCGCTCATCGCGTGATGAGAAACTGCCAAGTAGAGATACAGTTCTTCGCTCGGTTTTGGTGTGACCAGGATTGGGGCCAAGGAAAGGTATACTTTTAGATCCACCAATGCACAGTCGCACTCGTCATCCCAAAAGAACTTGACCTTCAAAGTTTTGAAGAAGGGCCTACAACGGTCTGAAGACCGGCTGATAAATCAGTTCGGCGCGGCTACCATTCCGGTGAGATGTTGCACGTCCTTTATGGAGTTTGGCCGTTCCAATTCTTGTACTGCCTTGATCTGGGAAGGATCGGCTTCGATTCCTATGTTCGTGACCAAAAAACCTAGAAATTTTTCGGTTCCAACCTCGAATGCACACTTGGAGGTGTTCAAACGCAGCTTGTGATGTTTGAGTATGGCGAACATTTCTGCTAGGTCGGCAAGATGTTAAGACTTATCTTTGCTCTTCACCACCATATCATCGATATAAGTCTCCATAGTGCGGCTAAGAAGGGGGGGCGAACATTTTGGTTACCATCCTTTGAAAAGTTATCCCGGCATTTTTCAAACCGAACGGCATGACCTTGTAGCAGTACAAGCCTCTTGGAGTGGTGAACGAAGTGATCTCTTGGTCTAGCTCGTAATGGCAATTTGGTGGTAGCCGCGATATGCATCCAGGAAGCTAAACCTCTGATGGCTAGCAGTTAGATCCACCAGCTGGTCAATTTTAGTGAGGGGGAAACTGTCCTTTAGGCACACACGGTTGACAGTCTTATAATCGACGCACACCTGCCATTTACCATTCTTCTTCGGCACTACCACCGTGTTAGAGATCCATCTAGGATACTACACTTCTTCTATTGCCCCCACTTCCAGCAAGTTCTTGACCTCCTCAGCCATTATCTCGGCATGGTGCAAGGCCGAGCGCCGCATCCTCTAGATGACCGGTCGTGCATTTGGAAAGATGTTCAACTGGTCGCAAATGAAGCTAGGGTTGACGCCAGGCATATCATAAGGCGTCTATGCAAAGGATTCCATGTTGGAAACCAAAAAGTTGACATAATCGAGCCACTCGGCGCTAGACAAAGATGATCCCAAAAGAAAGAACTTATTTGGATCATTCTCGCCAATGTGCACTTCCACCAAATCTTCAACCTATTTCTCCTAGGCCTTTCTTCCCACATCTTCTAGGACTTCCTTCCCTTTTGGTCCTTCTATCATTTGAACGAAGCCTTTGGCAACCCGGCTACCATTTACTGCGACAAAGCACTGTTTTGCCATTACTTGGTCTCCCCAAACCTCTTCCACTTGTTCGGATGGCACTGGAAAGGGCAAGACCTGGTGATAAGTCGATGCTACTGCCCGCATGGCGTGCAACCAGCCTCTTCTCAGGATTAAGTTGTAGGTTGATGGGACCTTAAGCACCCAAAATTTCACTTGCTTCATGACTGACCCAGTTTTGACCGGCAACATGATCTTTCCGATCGGCCATTCCGGTTAAGAGTTGAAGCCAATCAAAGGGGACGTTGCTGGAGCCAAGTCTCTGTCCTCCAACTTCATCTGTTTAAATGTGTCATAGTACATGATCTCGACCGAACTCCTCTGGTCAATCAGAATTCTTTTGATGTCGAAGTTTTTGACGCGAAGGGTCACCACCAAGGCATCATTATGAGGCGTTTGAATTCTCTCTAAGTCCTTGCTTGAAAAAGTCAGGACGTCTTTTCCCTCGGTCTTTCCCTTTTTCACGGCGGGCTGAACAGAAAGCACTTCCCTCATGTGCTCAACTTTCTTGATCATCCCCCTCAGCTCGCAAACCGGCGCTGGTTCGATGATGCCGTGAATGACATTAATTACGCCTTGGGGCGCTGCGTCCAGGATAACAAGGCCATTTGGCCTGGCTTGTCCCTGGGGAGCGGCTCTCATACCCCCATCTATGTACTAGTCTAGATGCCCGGCCGCCACCAGCTCCTTCAAATGTTGTTTGAGCGGCACACAGTCCTTCATTCGGTGCCCCCTTTCTTCATAGAAGGTGCAGCGATACCTCGAGTTGAAACCCCTCTGTATGTCTCCCAATTTGGCCGGCCAACGGACATAGGGTTCACCTCGGATTTCACTTAGGATGCGGTAAATTGGGATTTTAAAGACAGTAGCGATGCCGATTCGTGCTTTCAACTTTCTCTTGGCATCTTCCTCTTCATTACGGGGAGCGTTAGTACGGTCGTTTCTACGACTCTTGTTCCTATCATTGCAGTTTGAACCACGATGTTGGTCTCTAGCTCGGTCATTTGGGCGGTTGTCCTCCTGTCCCACCGAGTGAACCTTCCCTGCCACTCTTCCGTCCGCCGCGACCGGATTTGCCTTTTCGGTTGCGGTGGCGGCATTATCTTCTACTCGGATATGTTCGTTGATCCGCTACATCAAGGATTTCATGGTTGTGGGCTGGCGCATCGTGAGCGAGTCTCGCAGCCTATGTCCGACTGGGAGACCTCGCTTATATTGAGCGATCGTCAGATTGGTGGAGTAATCGAGGATCTCATTGTAGGTTTCCCAATACTTGGCATTGTATGCCTTCAAAGGACCTCCTGATTCCATCTTGACGCTCAGGAGATAGTTGACCTCCTTCAGTGTTCGAGTGTTGGTTTTGAATCTGGTGACGAAGGCCTCTGCTAGTTGTTGCCACCCCTTGATGCTCCCCTCCAGAAGTCTTTTGAACCGCTTCAGGCCCAGTTCTCCCAAACTTGCCAGGAATATGAGACACATCAAGGCGTCATTGCATCGATGGCCAGCCATTACTTACCGGTAATGACTCACGTACATGTATGGATCCGTCTTGCCATCGTACAGCGTGAACTTAGGTTGGTGAAACTCGACAGGAAGTGGCGTGCTCTCGATTTTTGGGGATAGTGGGGTAGCGGTAAGTCTTACTAGCTCTCTGTCCATCGGTGCAGGGGCCATCGTTTTAAGCGCTGGCATCGCCACTTCCTCACTATAACGAACTATCTTCGGGTCTCTCTACGGCGAGCTCGCTCCTCCAACACATCCCTCAGGTCCCCCGAACGGGCAGAGTAAGAGTATCTTGACATCGTCGATGGACGTGAGGGACGGTAGCTGCTGTTGCGAGTGTAAGATCTCTCCACTGGTGGGTCGGAGTCCCTAACCCCATAGCTTTTGGTGATAGAGAGAGGGCGTCCTATATTGGCGACGACTGCCAGAGCGAGGGAGCAGGGTGCGCTCACTATTATTGCCCTCTCTAGCAATACCCTTCCTCCTGATCTAGCGCTTCAGCGCCTCCATTTCAATCGCCATCTTGCGAATAAAGGCGTCCTGGTCTCTGGGTATGTGCTCCAGGTGCTGAGCATGCGACTCTCCCCGTCATCTGCGACCCTCTGGACTCTTTGAGTGGTCAGTGCTCCTTGCTCATTTGTCTCGCGCACCTCTAGAAAAGGTTTCCAGGTCCACCATAGTTGGAATAACAGGAGGGCCATCTCTCCGTCAGACAGACTCTGGTGTGATACCATCGACAACAGACAGCGGAGTTTCGTCGTTGTTAGCCATGGAAACAGTCGAAGAAGCTTGGAGAACAAGGTTTGTCTGTCAAAGTTTTCCCATAGACGACGCCAATTGTACGAGGGTGAAATGTTCTCAGTTCTCCGTACTCTTTGAACCCAAGCTTCGCATAACATCGCTTGACCTGAAAATAGAAAGAAGGTGAGCTGTCCGACGATGTGCTGCCGGATAAAGTCAGCACACTTGAAGAAGAAGAAGAATGTAGAGACTACTCTAAAGAGAGAGAGTTGTGAATTCCTTCAGATTACTTACCTTTAACATCCCACATTCCTCCTTTTCTAGGCTAGCCATACAGCCTCAGAGATTTTGGGCGCACTACCTTTGCTGTCCTTCTCTAGACAGGTGGTTGTGCTCCCCTCTACCATCCTTACACGTGTAGAGACGAAAACCTCCAAACAATGTTTGTTGAACCGCCAAACGGTATTGACGTACACCATGGGTGAATTTTCCCTCTTTTACCATTGGTCTAGGTGGCTTACGCAACTGGGCTATCACTTGGGGGACAAACATCATAACGACTGGAACGACCGAACTATAACAAATTGGTTCATCTGAATTGACTAGTCGTAGGGCGCGCGGTTTGACATCTCGGTCTCATACTACTTCCTCGTAAAACACCTCGGCCCAAATTCAATTCGAACTGTCCGTGGCTCGGCCCAACACATCAGTGCAGATCTAACCGAATATCAGGCCGAATCATAGCTCGGTTGAGCACCTGCATGTCTCCACATTCTGGTCAACGTTCAGCTTGGCCCAATGTAATGGGTCGGGGAGCCGCATTGGTTCAATTCGGACAGACATCGGGTCTAGCCCTCGTAAGGCCCAGCACCACATCGCGCACTACCGTAGCTTGGGCCCATTGTTCAGCGCAAATCCCCCTCTCACTGGGCAACTAGCTATGAACTCAAAACTAATTACGGCCTGTTTGGTAGAGCCGTGAAAAGTGATTATAAATTATAATTTATCAAATTATAGCTTACAACTGTGAACATAAACTGGTAACCTATTTGGTGCAGTTATGGGATTATGGATTTAAGCAGCAGAGTAGTATTTGGTAAATAAGCCGTAAAATAACTTTTTGCTGTGTAATTGTCATTTTTTCCCTTATGAACATAAAAATTGTAATTTTGTCATTTTCTTCAATTTAAATTTTGAAATATTGAGTGCACAAGGGAACAAGAAAATGTCATTGCAATAAAAATACAATAAATTACTATTAAGGTAATAAAAATAAAACTTCCTAAACATTTAAAGAACTCTAATTTTGTCTGCAAATTGACATACAAATATTATGTCTCCTCACTTCCATCTCATTGTCATTACCTGCAACATCATTTCCATAGCGTGCTTGTTGAGACGAAGATCCTTCCTCTTTATTAGACATATAATCTGTGAATCTATCATAAGAGTCAAATGCAATATCGCGGAACTGACTTCGTCGGATGAAATCGTGCAACCAGCCTCTTCTCAGGATTAAGTTGTAGGTTGATGGGACCTTAAGCACCCAAAATTCCACTTGCTTCATGACCGACCCAGCTTTGACCGGCAATATGATCTTTCCGATCGGCCATTCCGGTTAAGAGTTGAAGCCAATCAAAGAGGACGTTGCTGGAGCCAAGTCTTTGTCCTCCAACTTCATCTGTTTAAATGTGTCATAGTACATGATCTCGACCGAACTCCCCTAGTCAATCAGAATTCTTTTGATGTCGAAGTCTTTGACGCGAAAGGTCACCACCAAGGCATTATTATGAGGCGTTTGAATTCTCTCTAAGTCCTTGCTTGAAAAAGTCAGGACGTCTTTTACCTCGGTCTTTCCCTTTTTCACGGCGGGCTGAACGGAAAGCACTTGCCTCATGTGCTCGACTTTCTTGATCATCCCCCTCAGCTCGCAAACCGGCGCTGGTTCGATGATGCCGTGAATGACATTAATTACGCCTTGGGGCGCTGCGTCCAGGACAGCAAGGCCATTTGGCTCGGCTTGTCCCTGGAGAGCGGCTCTCATACCCCCGTCTATGTACTGGTCTAGATGCCCGGCCGCCACCAGCTCCTTCAAACGTTGTTTGAGCGGCACACAGTCCTCCGTTCGGTGTCCCCTTTCTTCATGGAAGGTGCAGCGATGCCTCGAGTTGAAACCCCTCTATGTGTCTCCCAATTTGGCCGGCCAACGGACATAGGGTTCACCTCAGATTTCACTTAGGATGCGGTAAATTGGGATTTTAAAGACAATGGTGATGCCGATTCATGCTTTCAACTTTCTCTTAGCATCTTTCTCTTTATTACGGGGAGTGTTAGCTCGGTCGTTTCTGCGACTCTTGTTCCTATCATTGCAGTTTGAACCATGATGTTGGTCTCTAGCTCGGTCATTTGGGCGGTTGTCCTCCTGTCCCACCGAGTGAACCTTCCCTGCCACTCTTCTGTCCACCGCGACCGGATTTGCCTTCTCTGTTGCGGTGGCGGCATCATCCTCTACTCAGATATGTTCGTTGATCCGCTGTATCAAAGATTTCATGGTTGTGGGCTAGTGCATCGTGAGCGAGTCTCGTAGCCTATGTCCGACTGGGAGACCTCGCTTATATTGAGCAATCGTCAGATTGGTGGAGCAATCGAGGATCTCATTGTAGGTTTCCCAATACTTGGCATTGTATCCCTTCAAAGAACCTCAAGGATCTCATTGTAGGTTTCCCAATACTTGGCATTGTATGCCTTCAAAGAACCTCCTGATTCCATCTTGACGCTCAAGAGATGGTCGACCTCCTTCGGTGTTCGAGTGTTGGTTTTGAATCTGGTGACGAAGGCCTCTGCTAGTTGTTGCCACCCCTTGATGCTTCCCTCCGGAAGTCTTTCGAACCACTTCAGGCCCAGTTCTCCCAAACTTGCTGGGAATATGAGACACATCAAGGCGTCATTACGTCGGTGGCCAGCCATTACTTGCCGGTAATGACTCACGTGCATATATGAATCCGTCTTGCTGTTAAGTAGCGTGAACTTAGGTTGGTGGAATCCGGCAGGGAGCATCGTGCTCTCGATTTCTGGGGACAGGGAGGTAGCGGTAAGTCTTGCTAGCTCTCTGTCCACTGGCGCTGGAGCCATCATTCTAGGCGCTGGCATTGCCACTTCCTCACTGCAATGGATTTGGGGACTTAGCCTTTGCAACGCTAACAATCTTTGGTTCTCTCTACGACGAGCTCGCTCCTCCAATACATCCCTCAGGTCCTCCGAACAGGCGGAGTAAGAGTGTCCTCACGTCATCGATGGACGTGAGGGACGGTAGCTACTGTCGTGAGTGTAAGATCTCTTCACCTGTGGGTTGGAATCCCCAACCCCATAACTTCTGGTGATAGAGAGAAAAGGCGTCCTATCTTGGCGACAATTGCCAAAGTGAGGGGGCGGGGTGTGCTCACTGTGGTTGCCCTCTCCAGCAACACCTTTTCCCTTGATCTGGCGCTTCAACGCCTCCATTTCAGCCGCCATCTTGCAAATAAAGGCGTCCTGGTCTCTGAGTTTGTACTCCAGGTGCTGAGCATGTGACTCTCCCCATCGTCGGCGACCCTCTGGACTCTTTGAGTGGTCAGTGCTCCTTGCGCGTTTGTCTCGCGCACCTCTGGAAGAGGTCTCCAGGCCCGCTATAGTCGGAATAGCAGAGGGGCCATCTCTCCATCGAACAGACTCTAGTGTGGTACCATCGACAACGGACAGCGGAGTTTCGTCATTGTTAGCCATGGAAACGGTCAAAAAAGCTTAGAAAACAAGGATTGTCTGTCAAAGTTTTTCCCACAGACGGCGCCAATTGTACGGTACTCCTTGAACCCAAGCTTCACGTAACGTCACTTGACCTGAAAACAAAAAGAAAGTGAGCTGCCCGGCGGTGTGCTGCCGAATAAACCCTCCGACGATCAAGTCAGCACACTTGGAGAAGAAGAAGAAGAATGTAGAAAGCGCTGTAGAGAGAGAGAGTTGTGAATTCCTTCAGATTGCTTACCTCTAACGTTCCTCCATTCCTCATTTTCTAGGCTGGCCATACAGCCTCAAAGATTGTGGGCGCACTACCTCTGTTGTCCTTCTTGGACAGGCGATTGTACTTCCCTCTACCTTCCTTACACATGTAGAGACCAAAACCTCCAAACAGTGTTTGTTGAACCGCCAAATGGTATTGACACATTCCAGGAGTGGATTTTTCCCTTCTTCATATCATTGGTCCAGATAGCTCATACAACCGAGCTATCACTTGGAAGAAGCGAACACCACAACAGACTAGACAGCCGAGCTATAATACACCGGTCCATCTGAGTTGACCGGTGGTAGGGCGCACAGCTCAGCATCTTGGCCTCGCCCGGCTATCTCGTAGGACATCTCGGCCCTGCGTCATCCCAGATTGGCTGTAGCTCGGCCCAGCACACCAGTGCGGGTCTTATAGAACATTAGATTTCGCCGATCAATAGCTTTGTTGAGCATCTGCAAGCTTCCATATTCTGGTCAGTTTGTCCGACCCAACGTAATGGGCAAGGGAGCTGCGTCGGTTCAATCCGGTCAGGCATATAATTTTTTGGCCCTTGCAAGGCCCAACACCATATCTCGCACTACCGTAACGCGGCCCGTTTGACCGGTGCAAATCCCCCTCTCATGTACGTTTCATCTGTTAAGGGGGGGCAAAAAAAAGAATGGCTAACCATGTATGCGTGTATTATTAAACTCTCTTCTAACTTTGGCAAAATACAAATACATTCATGTAGATAGGACGGAGATTTACACTAACGGTAGAGTTAGCTCCTCCCTCTAGTCGAACGATCTGAATCCTATGGAGCATTAATTCAAACATGCACAACACAGTCTCACTGTTCAATTTAATCCATTCTTAATAGGCAGATTCCAAAAATCTCCTCACAAAACGGTAATATCACATGTAATTGCGTAAAATCTCCGCCTTTGACCGAATTCACATGAGATCAAATTTTTTAATAATAATAATTTACATATTGTTGGTGATTAGTGATTAAATAGAGAAAATGAGCGATCAATACAAAGCTTTGACTGATTCGCAGCCTAGATTACAAACAACTCTTCGTATAGCTAAGTGCATTGATATCATGAAACACAGAAACTACAAAACAAAAACTAGCAAATTAAATGCATCGTAACATCAGAGATAGGCTAAATTGTTGACTTTGCTGATCTAAAATATTCAGGACACCACACATTCAATAATTCATAAGTTGAATAGTCATTGAGTGGCTATGAATGTAGAAATGAAAAGTAATTTATTTGCAGAGAATTGCATATATATATATACATGTAGAGATATAGAGAGAGGTTTTCAAGGAATACACATACCTGAGTGATGAGGCGGAAAAGGAAGAGCTTGTTGTTCGAAACTCTGTTATGAATCTGTGAGAGAGAGAGAGGACTTAAAGAGAGTTTGCTTTTGTAAGCTCAGTCTGTGTGTTGATGATACCAAGGGGAAGACGAGAGTCCACACAGTCCACTAGCGTAGTGTTTTAAAGGAGATTAACGGAAGGTACATGAAAAAAAATATTAAGAAAATGATTATAAAAAATTTTTTATTGTTAGATTATACATATAAAAAAATATTATACACTAATTACAGGATGAGAGCAAGATTTATTATTTGTTTGGTTTGAATTCTCGGAAATTAATTTTAAACGGATTTTTGTTTGTTTTTATTTTTTTATATTTTAGTTAAAAGAAATTACTTTATAAATACAATAAGATTAAATGTATCTAAAAAGAAAAAATAATTAAATATGAAAAAAATTTAGTAAAAACATTGAATAAAAATACATACAAATTTTTATTCGAATTTTTATTTGTTTCTAGTGAATGTTTTTAATATTTTAGTCAATTTGTTTTACTTTTTAGATGCAACTAAATTAGGTGTAAGCAAAAAGTTTTAAAAAAAAATTAACTAAAATATGAAAAAAAAAATTGTTAAACATAAATAAAAATTTATTTTAAAACAAATTTTAAAAAATAAACCAAACAGATTACTTTGTTAATAATTAATTATTTATTATATCAAATTTAACACTGATGGTCTATTTGATTTACAAGATGGGCATTATTATTGTAGATATAAAAATATATAATCTCAATATATGTATGGTTTACATTATTAGTTGTAAAATTAAAATTTGTCAATTTTATTAAATAGAATGACCATTGAAATCTAGTTCAAATAATAATAAAATTTGTAACTAAGCAAGGGGATATGAATCTCATAAATTAGTAATTTTAATCTTACATTATAATTCACCTAATCAAACAAATCCTGATGTCATTGAACCTATTAAATCTGACATTGCAAAAACATCATGTTAAATTTTAATAGTAAAAATATTTGGATATTTATTTATGAAAATTTAATACATATTGCCGTTTCCAAAAATGTTGCATCATTTGTTGTCCTTTGGTTAGGATTTTTTTAGTTTTTTTAAGTTTAGATTTTTTTGGCTTGGGATTAAAAGGTTTTTTTTTATTATTTTTTTGACTTTTTTGACTTTTGTAAGAGAAAAAGTGAAATGATTATAGTTTGGATGTGACATTTTGTCGTATTAACTTATTTAGCCTATTTTGTCTTTTGTACTTTTTTTAATCCTTACCATAATTGCCAAACAAAGCCTTTGTTCTTATATAAATTTAATAACATATAAAATAAAATTAATGTTTTTTTAAGAGTAATTTACACTAACCTCTCTTGATATTTGAAAAAGATAAAAGAAGTTTTGCAATTTTAGCATAATTATATAAAAAAATTTAAGATTTTAATTAACATAATATTTGGCTCCCTTTTCATCAATAATTAGTCAGTCATATGAATGAAAAATTATGATGTTATATCTTTTATAGTAATAAAATATATATATATATATTTTTTGTTATTGTAATTTTACACTATTTACATTAGTTTCGGTTATTTTAACTTTACTAAAAGGGAGATCAATATAGTTATGCCAGAACTGTGAGCCTATTTATATTTTCTCTATACCTTAACGTTGTGCTTGGTTGAAAAATTTAGAAAGAAATTTGAAAAGAAAAAGAGGAAAAGGTATGTGAAATGTAGTTATATTTTATTTATATTCCACCTACCTTTTCAAATTCTTTCTCAAAGAAGTTACGATAATTTATCTATTTTCTTTTTTTAATACTAACCACCATATAAAAAGAAATAAAAATACTAACCGTCAATTGTTTTGGATGAAAGTTAGTAAGTTTTTCTTACAACTTTCCCACAAAATTTAATTTTAATCAAATGTATATATAAAAAAAATAACATTTTCTTTTACTTTTTAATGAATAATGTCTCCATTGTGAGAGTTCGGAAATGAATAAAATTATGTTCTATGTTAATTTTTCTCACTTTTATTGTAAATATGTGATAATAAAAAAATTATTTAATAGATTTTAATTTTTAAAGTGATAAGACCATAATTACTGCATCATTCAAAATCAAAATTTTATATACATTTTTATTTATTTATATAACACTACTCTTTTATTATTTACAAATCACAACAATCATGTTAAAATAAAGGGTAAATTACAAACACCCTCCTCGAGGTTTGGTGAAAATACAGATTCCCCCTGAGGTTTGAGAAATTACATCCCGCCCCCTGAGATTTATATTTCCATAACAAATTATCCCCTGAGGTTTTTATTTTCATACAGATTCCCCCCTAATTTGTTATGTAAATTTGACCTCCAAGGGGCAATTTATAATTTCTCAAACCTCAGGGAGAAATTTATATTTTCACCATACCTCGAGGGGTGTTTGTAATTTGCCCTAAAATAAATAATAGCCACGAGGACCACGATACCAAAAGCGACCTACTCACCAAGGTGTCGAAAGTCGGCAACATTTATGGGTTTACTTAGGCTGGTTGCTAGGGGGACATAAATAAATAGGGATAATTATCACCAAATTTTATTAGTTGAACTCATTTATTCATAAATTTTGAGGAAATTTTCATATTTATATCGCTGGTTTTGATAATGAAAAATTTTGAAACTGCAATTGACTTTTTTTTAAGTTAGAAAGTCAAAAAATTATTAAAAAAATTAAAAAATTAATAACATATATTAAAAAGTTAAATATTTTTTTTCTCTTTACTTTTTGCACATATTTTCGTAAAAAATTAAAAAATTATTCTAAATATATTAATTTTTTTTACATCATATTTTAACTAAAAAATTACTAAAAAAATTTGTTCACAGACGAGGGCTCATGATACGAGTCACAAATTAATCATCCTCTATGGTATTATATATATTTCCTTTAATCATATTAGTTTAGGGTCATGCTATGTGTGTACCATATATAAGTTCTACACACTGAGGGTCTATTTGATTTACATAATTTGCCCCCTGAGGTTTATATTTCATAACAAATTACCTCCTAATTTCTTATGCAAATATAGCATTCAGGGGGGAATTTGTAATTTCTCAAACTTCAGGGGGGTATCTGTAATTTTGTCAAACCTGGAGGGGTGTATATGTAATTTGCCCTAAAATAAATAATAGCCACGAGGACCACGATACCAAAAGCGACCTACTCACCAAGGTGTCGAAAGTCGGCAACATTTATGGGTTTACTTAGGCTGGTTGCTAGGGGACACAAATAAATAGGGATAATTATCACCAAATTTTATTAGTTGAACTCATTTATTCATAAATTTTGAGGAAATTTTCATATGTATATCGCTGGTTTTCATAATGAAAAATTTTGAAACTGCAACTGACTTTTTTTTAAGTTAGAAAGTCAAAAAATTATTAAAAAAATTAAAAAATTAATAACATATATTAAAAAGTTAAATATTTTTTTTCTCTTTACTTTTTACACATATTTCGTAAAAATTAAAATATTATTCTAAATATATTAATTTTTTTTACATCATATTTTAACCAAAAAATTACTAAAAAAATTTGTTCACAGACGAGGGCTCATGATACGAGTCACAAATTAATCATCCTCTATGTTATTATATATATTTCCTTTAATCATATTAGTTTAGGGTCATGCTATGTGTGTACCATATATAAGTTATAATATTTATAAAGTTGATTATTATAAATATTTGAATTATTTTCAATCATAATTATAAAAATAAAAAAATAAAAGGTTAAGTCATAACCAAATATCACATAAGATATAACAAAAAAATTTTTGAATCATTTTAAAAATAAATATCATAACTAATATTACAATAAGTCATAACTAACATCACAATTTATATAAAAAAATCATAATCGAGTTATAACTAATATCACAATAGATCATAATCAAAGATCTCAAACGTCATAATTGAGGCATATAGAATTTTTCATTAGGTTAATACTCAAATCAATTATTTCTCACTAACGAAGGCCCAGAATTGAACAATTTCAAGGATTTTTTTGGTTGGAGGGTAGACAATAGAAAAATATTTCATCACTGAAGGACTAATCATCTCAAGTGCAATGCCCCCACTGCCTAGGTTGTGAGATGCTTAAGTCAAGGAAAGTATATGTTATTAGTAAAGATTTTGTGCAAAATTCGTGTAAAGAAAAATATCAAAAAAAATATGATATGATTTAGATTTAACTTATGTATTGTGTGAGTTATATTTAAACAGCCGTGCTACGTAGCCCGAATGGACTGGGGCTCGATTGCCTCAAATTTTCAAACGACGTCGTTTGAATTTTTTATTTTTTATTTTTTTCCTCTTTTCGTTTGAATTTTTTATTTTTATTTTTTTCCTCTTTTCTTCTACCTTCCCTCTCTTCTTCCTTCTCCCTCTCTGCTTTGCTGCTCTGGAAATTCAAACCCACAGCAAACTCAACAACTCACACACAGATAAAAAAAAAATCTATGTATACATCACAACAATCCTTAACAAACAATCCTCTAGTGGAGGGATTCAAAAAAAACTCAAAAAAAAACAAATTACAACAAACAAACCCACAACAACAATTCTCAACAAACAAACTCAAAAAAAAAAAAAAAATCAAATCAAACCCACAACAACAGGCAAACCCAAACGAAAATCTAAATCTAAATCAAAAACTCAAAAAAATCTCACAAATCCCCAAATCTACACAAATCAAAAAAATCAAAATCAAAATATAAAAAAAAAAAAACGAGTGGAAGAGAGAAGAACAGAGAAAGAAGGAGAGGCTGAAGAAGCCGCCGTCGCCATCACTGTTGCTCTCCGTCGCCCATCGCCATTGCTCTGTGTGTTTACACAGATCTATGTATACACACACAACCCGTCATCCCGTCGCCACCATCACACCATTATACCGTTGCTGTCCTACCTCTTCTCTCTTCCTCCCTCTTCTCTCTCTCTTCTCCATTCTCCTTTCTCCTTTCTCCTTCATTTCTCTCTTCTCTCTTTTCTCTTCTCTCTATTTAAGGAGAGGGAAAAAAAAAAATTTAAAACGAGATGGTTTTCAATTTCAGGCCAATTAAGCCTTTGACTTTTTGAGCTCTCAAGCTTTATTGATATTTAAAATAATCTAAACTGCGTTATATATATATATATATATTGGCTATACTTTTATACATAAATTATGTTTGCATAGCATCGCACAAATCACTGTTGTCATTTTTATTTAATATATAGTTCCCTCTTATATATTGAATGGAGTTGGTGGCGGAGAGGAGTTTTTGTGCTAATTTTATGGGTGACATGTGCCCATCTTTTATGACTCATATGTCAATTTTTTTTTTTAATATTTGATTTGTAATTATATTATAATAAAATTTAATAAATTATAAAATATTGATGCAAATTAAATGCAACGTTAATTAATTACAAGCAAACTCTCAAAGTGGGAGAAAAACCTCCCATAATTTTGAATATTTTAATCTCCACTTGATTTGCAACATACTTAAAAAGATGCAATGAATTGTTTTAGGTTCTTAGAGTATTACCAATTCTTCACCAAAAATTTTATGAAAAAAGCTTTCGGTAATAAGCTTGGAATTTACCAAATTTTATGAAAAAAACTTTTGGAGATAAAATTGGAATTTTTAAAAAGAATGTGACAATTTTTAAGTGAGGATTGGACCATTCAAATTTTTCACCAAAACAAAATTTTAGTTAAATTTGATGAAAAGTCATTAGAACATTCCATATCAAATCACTCTTTTAACCAATTTTTTTTTTAATCTAAATTTGATGAAAAGAAAAGAAAAGAAAAAACAAATGAAAGATTGGAGATGTCTATTTGTGTTGGCTTCATGTAATTTAAAATTCATTTTATTGTTTAAAAAAATGTTATTTTGTTATTAAAAAAATCATAATTTATTTGGTAAAATTATTTTTGATCAAAAAGTACACTTATATAAACTTGTAAGTACTAAATCTCAAAACAAATTATCAAATCCTTATCATCATCAAACCACCGAGATTCTTTTGCTGAAATTTTATATATATATATATATATATTTGAAAAAATTGCCAGTAAATTCAAGTTAAGAGGCGCGTTAGGCATTAGGTCCGACGATTAATCTTATTTGGTGAAAATGGCACACGTTGAATAGTTGCTGGAGGACAATAGTTAGCAGAGGCCAAAGGTGATAGCTTGTTGAACGAATAGGTGATATTAAATAGATAGGCGAATAAATAAGTGACATGTGTATGGCCCATGGCCAGTCTGGCCATGTTGGACTGCTAACGCTTTTTTGTGTTTTTTGCTAACTCGAAGTGGAGAAAAAGTGTTTCAAAACGTGTTTTAGGCTTGGTCTACCCATTCTCCTAAAAATAGTTAAATTTAAATAATAGATAAGTGATATTGAATAGATAGATGATATATTTATAGATAATGGGACATTTGAACAAATATGTGCATAGTTTGATAACACGTGTACAAATAGTGAGACATTTAAACGGATAGATGACACATATACAAATATATGTGCATAGTTTGATAACACGTGTACAAATAATAAGACATTTAAACAGATAGATGACACATATACAAATAATGAGATATTTAAACAGATAGACATATAAATAAAATTTGATAGATAAATAATACTAAGACATTTGAATAGATAGTGGACAAATAGATGACATATATACAAATAGTGAGACATTTTAAATGATAAATAGAAAAATAAAAATTTGACAGATGAATAAATTTTGAACAGATAGGTGTTGGACAAATAATATTCTTATGCTCCAAAAACATTTAAACATGGACCTATTGACTAAAGAATTTCAAATTTGGCTGCTTATATATTGTGTCCGGCTAATATAAAATTGTAAAAAGATTTATTTATAATAATTTCAAAATTATTTATAAGATAAAATAATTAAATAATCATACTGTATATTAAAAATGATCTATCAGCAAAATTTCAATAGAAATTTTAATTATTGATAATGTTACATTTTTACATAATAAATCATTTCTGTCAAATATCGAATTATATCAAAAACTGCAATTGCTATTTACTACTGTTAAGATTCACGCCAACCTATACACTAACCTTACAATAATAATAAGATAACAAAGAGTAGAAAATTAATTATTAAACTCTTGTTGAAAACCCTTTCAAAATGTACAAAACACCGGAAGAAGATCCGGGTGGATTCGAACCACCATCCTCTCAAACCCAGGGAAGGTCCGAGTGCTCTTACCATTTTTGAGCTTACGGATCTATACAAAGCATAACAAGATTTTTTTTTTTTGTGTGGCTCATGATAACTTTTCTCCATCCCACCATTCCATTTCTCTAAATCAATTTTCTTCACACTTTTGTACATATATATATAACCATATTTTTAACTTAAAAATACCATATTAGTTTTACAAAACAAGAAAATTTTACTACCTTTTTTTCAATCAATACAATTACAATTACAATCAAACTACATAATTATAATCAACTCAATGCAAATCTTTGTTTTGGCAAAAATTAACCCAACAAAATTCCTATTCACCAATTCCCAGTACACCTGATTCCCTCAACAACCAAATATATCCCGTCACACACAAAATTGAAGTCCAAAAACACAATTTTCAAAAGAAACTCTTTTAAAACAAATCCATGAAAAAATATACTTGTAAAAGGGTAATAGGGTATTCAAAAAAATAAAAAAATTCAAAGCACACTCTGTTAGTTATTAGGCTAATGTCATGACTTTTTCCCTTACATCAGATGACAAAACAAACAATTTTTAAAGTCCATAACATTTTCTTAAAATGAATGCAGTGAGAAATAAAAAATAACCCGTGCTAAACAGATCTTTTTCATATTTAACTACAAAAACAATTTTGAAAATGATAGTCTTTCTGAATTAAATGAAAAATATCATGCCAAAACGGTAACCAGTGACTCCAAATAACGAAAATATTGATTAATTAAATTAAAATACGAATAAGATAATTGGGCAAGCTCACATAACTACCTAACTTTGGTTATATGTAACAACACATACAATACAAATATATATATTACTCTCTCAAATTGTTTGTCCACCACTAAAAAGCGTGCCAATCTTCAATTTTTTTTAAAAAAATACATATTTCAATTAGTCATAAAAAAATTCAAAAAAAAGAAAATATTATTTTTGAGTTCAAACCATTCCAAATATATCAAGCAAATCAATTAAAATGTTTATACGTTCCCTACCACAAATGCCACGGCGAGAGTTAAAACAGAATAAATTACAAAACCAAGAAGTTAAAAGAATGATTACCACTATAATAATTGCTAAAAATGCTGATGGCCAATAATTGAATCAGCCCGTATGCTAAAAATACAGTACCACTTATCTGATTAACAAGGCAAATTAAGTCTGATGATAAGAATCCCAGATTTTCTCGTCACCTCAGGCAGGCAAACGAGGAAGCTTGCAGTGAAACAATTACGCAAATGATGAAGCTAGTAATGAACTGAGCAGCAAAGCAACATTGTGATAAAAAGATTTAAGCTCCGAAGACATGATCCAGAACAGTTGCTCCCATGACATAACAAGACAGGACAAAAACAATATCCAGTGCACCAGTGCGTAGAACCAAGTCACACATAGGGCCCCCACAAAGGTAGAGAATGGTGTGGCATTAACACAGCACATTTCCATGACCACATTGATGATAACAAGCACGCACGGATCAACAGAAGATATATTCGGAATGTACCTGCCACAACAATGATAAAACCATCATGCCAATTGTTTCCACACCACAACACAAACTCATGCTCCCATAATGGCAATGAAAATTAAAAAAATGCACCATTAGAAGACCGTTGAATCTCTTAAAGCCCCCCACAGCATCTCTTCATTCCACCCGTTCCACACTTCCAGCAGCTTTGAACCCACGCTCCAGCTCCAATGATGGTCACAACAATGATAAAACCATCATGCCAATTGTTTCCACACCACAACACAAACTCGTGCTCATGCTCCCATAATGGCAATGAAAATTAAAAAAATGCACCATTAGAAGACCGTTGAATCTCTTAAAGCCCCCCACAGCATCTCTTCATTCCACCCGTTCCACACTTCCAGCAGCTTTGAACCCACGCTCCAGCTCCAATGATGGTACAAATCATCTGATTTGCAAACAAGAACCAGATCACAGCTTCATTTCACTTGCAGCAGCAGCAGCAGCTTGTGAACCCTTTCTAGCTTTTCATTATAAACATCTGATTTGCTGACGTCAACCAGATCAACCGAAGCTTTGAATAACCCAAAAAAGGTGATGGTAGCAAAGCTCCCATTGCATCGATCACTGAAGTCTCGAGATAACAAAATATAAAAACAGGAACACAAACACCACACCACCTTTCCTGGCACAATGTCGACTCTTGAAAATAAAAAACAAACTACCATTCTCTTACAGGTTTTGCTTCAAATACAAAAAGATGCAAGTACTCTTTTCAGTTCCAACGTAATAAAAAAAGAGTAAATATATTAACACAGATCACTTGGTAATTGCACGCTACACAACCAACCACTTGATTCTCTTTGAAATTCAAGAGAAACAAAATATATATAGAGGTGCATAACAAAATCCACAGATGAGATGCAAATTAACATTAACATGTTCAGCTCTAAATTGTTTGATTATGCAGGGAGATACCATATTTGTTGATTCAAAAGAGCACCAAATGAATATTCGATATATAAATGCATTGCCAGTTTTTATCATGTATGAAGTGAACATCGAATAAGTTCTGCCAACCCACCACTCTAGTAATTATAATGTCACATCATCCCAAGTAACATTCAATTTTTTCTTACCACCATAGTTAATACATACATAAATACGATCTGTTTAGTTAAAAATACAATCTGTTTAGTTAAAAAATTAAATTACAACTATTTATTATTAATGAAAGATTCATGGTAATTAAAAGAACCATCCCTTCATTAAACAAACCACACCCAACCACACCCAAAATAGACCGCAATCAAAGAGCACAATGATTAAAATAACTTAATGATTGTGCAAAATGATTTGGGACCTATTCATCATCAAGAGGTGAAGTGAAATGGATGCAAAATCAATTATTTTAATGGAACTGTAAAAATTGGATAAAAGAGTGGCTTACAAACTATGCTCCATTGAAACTGCTATTATTTTTTCAATTAATTCAAAAATTCAAAAACTATGCTCCACTAGTGCACTTCATTAACCAGGGGCTATAATTATAAAACAAAAAAGGTTCATAGGAGTTTCAAATAAAAGATTTGTTTGGCATGTTTGAAAAAAATCAAGTTAAAAAAAATCACTATGCTATTCGAGCCGCATATTTTATTTAAGTCATATCCCTTCACCAAAAAAATATATGAAAAAATTAATTTTCCATACACATCTTTCAACGCAGCAATGATGTATTGCTGGAGCTGTGCAGATTGTGTTCAGATTAATTGCACAATTTTGGTACTCCCTCCGTCCCAAAATAATGGTCCCTTTTGGGGAATCTAACTTTTTTTGGTAGTACAATTATTGTACTTTTAGAAAGTTGGTTTTCCAAAATTACCCTTTGATAGTACACTTTTTTGAGAATATCAATGTCATAATTGTACTTTTTATATTATTTATGAATTTAAAAGAAAGGCAAAATAGAAAATTTATATTATTTTTGTACTTGATTTTTGAAGATGGACTAATATTTTGGGACAATGAAAAATGGAATAAGGGACTAATATTATGGGACGGAGGGAGTACAATTTTTACACACTATTGTTTGGTCAATGTGTAAAACTGGTCAAATACTATATGTTAGTAAAAAAATCAAATTAATCGAATATCGATAACTACATAATCAAATCAATTTTGTATAAAAAAATTAATGGTGTTATAATTAATTATTGAAAAAAAATAAATCTGATCATATAACTATCGATATCCGATTACCGTGATTTTTTATATTCATATAAATACTCGACGATTTCTACACATTCTACACATTGAACAATTCAGATTATTAAGCCTCCGTTTGGAAAATAGATTGACTTTTTGACTTTTTTAACTATTTTAAATTGGGCTAAAAAGTTTAATTTGGGAGAACTTTTTGACTTTTTTTTATAAAAGAATGTAATGATTATGAGTTAGATGTGATATTTTATTATTTTTTTTATTTTTTTATTTTTACTAAAATAGCCTATTTTGTCTTTTGTGGTTAAAATAGCCAAAAAAACCCCTTTTAGCTCTTGCCAAAAAGAGCCTAAAAATTCATTCAAAGTTCCGTGAGAACCCCAACAAGCCGGAAAAAAACTGTCCAATAATTTATGGTCATCAAACCGGCTGGCAGGTTGTATGGCTATACCCACATATTTCTAATTTTTTCATACACTACTTTTTATAATGTTTTAATACATATTTTTCATAAAAAATCAAAAAACTAACCAAAATATCCATATTTTTATCTCAATTTTTTAGTCTAAAAAAACAAAAAAGTGCACTTCCTTAAAACAACCTAACAACCCCTTAAAGCCAAACTTATTATCACATCCCTCCCTCCCTCTACATTTTTTGCACATTGTAAAAAAAATCCTAAAATAGCCATTTTCTGAACGAGCTTAACTATAGGTTTTTGTTAGTAAAGATTGCAATGAAAAACCATAATGGAAGCTATTAGGAATTAAAAAAAAGTGGCTAAAATTATGGCAGACACTAGCATTGCTCGAGTTTAATTAAGAAGATCCGATCAGATGGGCAGCTATTGCATGCTATTTAATGTCGATGTAATTAGATAAGATGCTTGGCAACAGAAAGTTAAATCAAGATTTAGAACATTTGCAAGTCTAAAGAGATAAAGCATCGTGTACCTTTTTGCCTGCTTATCAGTTGTGTAGAACACCTTGCTCTCATATTTGACTATTTGCTGATGATGTCCGTCATAGTTATGTTGACGGTGCAGAATTCAGTCGGGAAAGATAAAAATAAGCAAAAAAATTGAACACGCACGACACACAACACCACACCAGGGGAGAGATCCCGGGCAAAAACCCCGTGCGATCTCCCCCAAAAACAAAAAAAATAATTTTTTATTAAAGTTTGTGACCTGCCATGCAAGCGCACCTGTCATGGCAAAGGCCGGATGACAAAGAACAATCGAGACATTAGAACCTAATAAAATTAGGTTTTTTCTGTCCCGAGGTCTTTTACACCGTTCACAAGAAATCCCTCAGAAATCGCTCCATGAATCTTCAGAGTAAACAACAAACTACCTCCTTTGATATCCAGTTACATCCTCAAACTGATTCCTTCAATTCAACAATCCAGCCAGCGTCGAAAAAGCCATTACTTGGCATCGACTTGTATCGACATAGATCTTGAAACAGCATCACCTTGGATCGATGTGAAAATACAAGGAAGATCCCCAAATCGCCATGCCTGTAGCAACAAGAACCCAGATCTACAACGACGGAGCCGAACAACAACAGATCCAAACCATCTAGCAACAAAAAGATAAGAAACTTTTTACACATAAATACATAATACCTCGAGGTCCTTGTCGTGGATCGTATCTATCGTCAGCAAGTCCATGGCAGATCTGCAAAGAAGTATACCACAATTCTTCAATCTCAACCGCCATCGTAAATCAAGAGCCGAATTCTTGAATCAAAACCAATCCTCGTGTCAGATCACACCATATCGATCGGCAATTCGCGAAGATCGCAGAAAACAGAATCACCGAAAGAGATCTGCTTCGAACCATCGAAACCACCATCGCTGCGTAGATCGTCGACCGATCTAACAGAATCCGAATACGGATTCGACACAGCAACAAAATAGAAGAGTAGATCTGAAAAAATCACAAAACCAGAGAAAAAGGGGAGGACGGGGAGGAGGAAGGGGAGAGAGAGAGAGAGAGAGAGAGAGGCGATGACAAGAAAGGTTCGCGGGAAACCCTAACTTTATAGAAGGGGAAGGACGAATGGACGGATAGGATTCATGGAACAAAAAGAGATCGACGGTCCATATACAAGCAGTTGGGTGAGGCGGTTCCTTGGTTTCTCGTGAAGCGGTGGTGTCGTAATTGACGGGCTTAATGAGCTGGCTAACTTTTTCCCGTCAAATGATTGTGTGACACGCGTCCCGTCCCGTCGTAGTCTTCTGGATCATCTTAGACGTTGATGACTCAATTGAAGAATAATTGGTCCTCATCAAACACGCCACCTCATGCGTGGCATCAATTCAATACACCGCCTTAAGATTTTGGACAAATGGGTTGATTTGGAAAATAAGTTGGTTTTTTTTGAATTTTTTTAGTTATTTTGGTTTTTTTTTTGGTATTTGATTTTTAATATTTTTTAGTTATTTTGGTTTTTTTGGGGTATTTGATTTTTAATTATATTTGTGGGTTTGTAATAAAAGTTAAAAGTTAATTTTTTTTGTATTTAAAAACATTAGAGAAATTAGTTTTCAGCTATCGATGAAATTATAATTTTACTCTTCATAGATTAAAATGTGCTACATGAGTGAAATTGTAAATAATTTAAATTAAATGAGGGTAGTTTAGTTATTTTATTGTGATTTGATATCCTAAACAAATATTGGGGTTATTTTGGGTGTTCTAAATGGGTTGGTTTGGCATCTACTATATAATCTATCTTTTTTCCATCACATCACCTCTCTACTTTTCTGCACATCTTTTCGTAAAAAGATAAAAAGTGCACTTTTTTATGACACTCCAAACCAACCCTATTTTTTGTCTTTTTGGACTAAAAAGCTTAGAAAAAAAATATGATTGTTTGGATTAATTTTTTGACTTTTTACAAAAAAATATGTATTAAAAAATTATATAAATTAGTGTATAGCAGAAGGTAGGGAGAGTAGTTGTCTTGGGCAAAGGCATTGAACATAAGAAATGGTTGCCTCATTTGAGGGCATTGCATTAGACTGTGATGTTCGGTCAGTGTAGGCCCACCACGGGTCCTTTTTTGCTAATCGAAATCGTTGAATGTGTAAAATTCGTCAAGTATTATCTAATTACAAAAAATCACATTGATCGGATATCGATAGGTATCTGATCGGATTAATTTTTGTTCAACTGTTAAATATAACACTATCCATTTTTTTTATACAAAACTGATTTGATCATATAGTTATCGATATCCGATCAACGTGATTTTTTTATAGACATATAGTACTCAACGAGTTCTACACATTGACGATTCGAATTATCAAAACGGGACCCGTGATGGCCCCCACCGGGCGAACAGAAGCGTGCTTTTTGTGCAATATGGCTGTACAATTTTTTCAAAAAAAATAGCTTCACCTGTGGGACATCAGACGAGTTTTATTATTTTTTTGGGTGAATAGTAATAACTTTTTAATTTTTTTTTGTAACTTTTTGACTTTTTAGATTATTTTCAAGATGCCAAACCAAGCCTTAATCAAAAAAGTCAAAAGTAACTTTTTACCAACTTCCCAAATCACTTGTCTTAAAAAGTAAAAAGTTTGATTAAAAGCCAAAAAATCACTTTTTACCATCTTCTCCAAACACCCTTTTAGTTTTGAGTTAAAAAGTCTTGTTTGTGATGGTCATTTTAGTTTTTTTGACTTTTATGAGAAAAAAAATGTAATGATTATGGATTGAATATAATATTTTTTATTATTAGACTAAAAAATTATTTTATTTTTTTGTAACTATTTTAGCCAAAAAAAACCCCCAAATCCTCTTCCAAAACCAAGGCACAAACAAGTACTATGTATGTTTGTTTCCTAGATTAATCCCACGTTTGGTAACATTATTTTTTTAGTTTAAAAGTCAAAAAGTCATTAAAAAATTAAAAGGTTAACAACTTTATACTAAAAAATCAAATGCAGTGTTTGGTTAGCTTTTCCAAACATATTTTCACCCTTTATTTTGAGTGTCTTATTTATTTACAGTTTTCAAAAATTAATTTCATATCCACTTTTGAAAACTCTTTACAAGGCAGGAAAATTTGGACTAACCAATCGTCCTCTAGGACGTCCGACCAATTTACCAAAACAGTGCTTTTTTTTTTAATACAATTGGCACCTGTTATATTTTATATTTTAAATTTTAAAAAATCAAATTTTTTTAAAAAAATTTATGAGTTTTAAATAGAATTTTGGATAGTGTGTTTGGTTATGAGTTGTAAGGTTTTGTATTAAATATCATCTATTACATCAAAAATTCTAAACTCAATGCAAAACTCCTAACTAAACAAATTTTCCACGCTCATATCATAATTTCAAAACTCACAAACTCAAAATACAATTTTATTCTCAAATCATAATTTCAAAACTCTTCCAAACACCACTAAATATTTCATTTTCTCTCTACTTTTTACACATCTTTTTGTAAAAAAATCAAAAAGTCATCCTAAATCATACTAGTTTTTTTTACACCGTATTTAAGCAAAAAGCCAAAAAAAACATCTTTAAAAACCTGTTCTCAAACAAGGCCTAAGGTCATGTTTGGTAATTACATGTTTTAGTCAAAAATTTTAAAAATTATTACAAATTATCATATTACTCTTTTTATTTTTTAATATATTTTTTTATAAAAAAAAATTTAAAATAATATTAAAATAATTTGTTCCTAAACTGGGCCTAAACTAAAAAGATGTAGTGTAAAAGTATCCACAATGGATGTGTTAGTGTATTTATCTTTCCATTTTTTCTCATTTTTATTTGATTTTTAATTTTTTTTTAGATAATTTTTCAAATGGACCTAAAAATTTAATAAAACAATTTCTCACGAGCCTTTTCTTTTTTTTTTTCGATACAGCGGAAATGAAATACAAACAAACAGGGACTAAGCCCTTTCCCTAGCTAACCCAACCATATCAGAGACCAAGAGCTCTCTGATTTCAATAGGTGGATCATTTACAACTAGAATGTCCTCAGGTTGTTCAGCTCCAAGTTTGGCCATTGCATCTGCACATAAGTTCCCTTCTCTATAAATGTGTTGTACAGTGCATTGACATCCATTAAAGATTATCCGTGCGTCTTCTATAAGGCCTCTGAGGAGGTGGTGCTCGCTAGGACCTTCTTCAAGCAGCGTCACTACTTTAGTTACATCTGTCTCAATAATCACTCTGTGAAAACCTTTTTGAAGGATGATGGTGAGGCCTTGTACACAGCCCATAGCTCAGCTTCAAGGCTGGTGCAGTGCTCGAGTTTGCCATAGAACCCACAGATCCATGCTCCTGTTTCATCTCTTAATAGGCCTCCAAAACCTCCAGGTTTGGCCTTTCGATAACAGCTATCAGTATTCAACTTGAGTGTACCTGTAGGGGGACAACTCAACTTGATTAGCAAAGGAGCTGGTTTAGGATTAGTAATAGACAAAGTGAAAGCTTGGTAGCTCTTTCTGGAAAAATCAAAAATGAATTTAACACTTTCAAAAATGCTAGTGGTTTGATGTTCAAAAATTTTTAAATTCCTGTTTTTCCAGATTTTCCAAAGAGTGATAGAGAACAAAGAGTTCCAAAGAGAATTTTTCCCAAAATTGTTATTCTTTTTTAGATTGCAAATCAGCCAGCTTTTCCAAGAAGAATTACTCGTCTAATGGTACCAATTTCTAGAGAAAACTGCCACTCACACACTCATAGCTTCAGAACAAGTTCTAAAGAGATTATCCAAATCTTCCACCTCATTGCAAAAGGGGCATGATGGGTCATCAGATAACCCTCTCTTAACCCTCATACAGTTGGTCAATGTTTTCCCCTGGAGCAACACCCAGAGGAAACTTTTAATCTTTTGAGGAATTTTGCATTTCCAAAGCCACTGCCAATTTTCTTTGTGCTCATCATTCTCCATGATCAAATTATATGCACTGAGTATTGAGAAACACCCATCCATAGATCCTTTCCAATGTGGCTGATCAGGGTTGGGACTGTAAAGAGGGGGTTTTTCTTTAAAAATAAGATCAGCCACATTGGTTGGGAAGTATTGTTAAACTATGTTCACATCCCAATCCTTTTGCTCATTAAGAAGAGAATTCACCTTCACCAAATCTAAGTCAGCATGTGTTTAGGGAGTAAGGGCAGCCAGTGGTTTAAACTCACACCACCAGTCATCCCACAAATTAACATTAGAGTTGGTACCAATGGACCATTTAACACCCTTATTCAAGGTGTTTCTGGTTTTAAGTATGCTTCTCCACACGTGAGAAGCTTTCTTTCTTGTCTTCCAATTGCAAATAGCAGCATTTTTGAGATATTTGGCGCTAAGAACCTTAATCCACAAACGATTCTCATTATTGAGAATTTTCCAACCAAGTTTGGAGAGCAGGGCTATGTTCTGTTCACTTGCTTTTTTTAGCCCCAGCCCTCCAAACTTTTTGCTAATACACACCTCATCTCAACTCACAAGATGGATCTTTTTCTTTTCCACAGTGTCTCCCCAGAGAAAGTTACGGTTCATGCAATCAATATCATTGCAGACCCTCTTAGGGAGTGCCATAGTTTGCATAGTGTAAGTAGGAATAACTGCTATCACAGATTGAATCAAGGTGTTTCTTCCTGCCAAAGACAGGACTTTCACTTTCCATCCAACCAACTTGTGTTGGATTTTCTCAAGAATAAAATTAAAGTCACTTCGATTAGCTCGTTGGTGTAGAATGGGATCACCTAAGTATTTCCCAAGATCAGCAGTTAAAGGTATATGACAAAGGTTGATCAACTCCCTAGCCTGTCTTCTGGCAATATTAGGAGACACAAAATTTTTTGATTTTTGAAAGTTAATTTGCAGGCCAGAGATTAAACTAAATTCTTCCATAATTTTAGCAATCAAAGCACCATGCCTAGTATCAGCCCTAGCAAACAATATGAGGTCATCAGCATAGAACAAATGAGTAATACAAGGACCACCCTTAGCAAAGTTAATACCCGTCTAGCTTTTCCTATCAGCCAAGT